TATGTCGCTGATATCGGTGACTCAGGACGGCTTATTTTAATTCTAGCTTCCCTCTTCTTATCTCCCGTGGGTATTAAAAATAGATCAGTCCTCCTAATCAGTCTCCTAGCACGTGTAAAATGGGAAAGTTAATAAGCCCGTTAAATTATGGGGAGGGTAATTTCTACCCTTGATCATTGTCTCATTATTTCAGTATTTCGTGAGATCGCGGTTTCCTTGGGAAGTTTGGCCAGGATCTCGGGAAGGAGAGTCCTAGGAACGGATTGACGGAGATTGCTGCAACTCTCCGAATGCAACCTCGTACTTGCATGGGATCACGTGGTGGTCAAACCGCCGGAGTTAATTCGTCCATTCCGTTAGGTCGTTCCTTCTATATTTCTTCCCCCTCCTTCGCTAGAGATGCGCTTTTTCCTCGACTCATTCGCCGAAGGTCCCTACCTAAGCATCGCGATAGACACGAAAACGGTACCCGATGAACGCCGGAACGGTACGCTCGAGGAGAGGATCGAACTCCCGGAAAGCAAGGCCGTAACGGGACGGCCAGTGATAAGAGCCCGTTATCACGCCCGCGCCTCGGGAACCCGGTTTCTCCGAGTCCGTCTCGCCGACTCGCTTCCTCTCGACGGATCTTCCTTCCGGGTTTCCTGAAATTACTCCACGGAAATATCGGAGATATTAGAAATATCAAAGATACAACGGCGGAGGGGAGAGCGAGTTAAAAAAAAAAATTGTATATATATATATATATTTTTTTTCCTTCGACGCGCTAATCGAGTCGGACAATTCCTGGCAATTGTTTTTAGGGGAATTTCGGTGGACGATGGGGTATTATTTTGCCGCTCGTCGACGGTTTTCCCACGGTCCGGTCCCCGTTTGATCCCATGCCAGGAGCCTCGTGAAATAACAGCGAATCGACACGGCGCGGACGGTTTATTCGGTTTTTTCTTTCCTTTTTTTTCCTTCGGGATTAATGCACGATCCGAAATGAAACAGAGTGCACTCTTTCGGCCCGGTTGCGCTTTATCGACCCACCGGGCGTAATCGAATAACCGGTGGAATAATTTCGTCATTGTTGCGCGGCAAGTGCGGCGAGGCACGCTCGGTTTCTTTACGGAAACCAGAGGGGCCATTGGATGTACGCGAACGAACGAATTTCGGGACCTCGTTGGCCGAATTCGTCCGCGAGATGACGAAAGAGTCCTTTCGTGACGCTTTTCGGTAACGCAATTCCGGGACGGGAATGGGACGCGAGGAGGAAACTCCGGTTCGGGAATTTCTCAGGTGTTTCGCAGGAAACTAACCTTAAACTCTACCCGGGTCTTTCGCTCCTGGAAATTGGCTGGCCGAGACCTCGTCGCAGAGGTTATTACGTCTCGTTACATTGTCCTACCCCTTCCTCGCGTACCGTTTGTCGAGTACAGAATTCTCTCGCTTTTTCCCGCTTCCCTTTTTTTTTTTTCCCCCTTTTCTCTTACCCTCCTCCTCTCGGGCTTCCTTCAACGCGCTGCTCCGGAGCCGTTATTACGGAATGATTTTGCGCGTCTTATTGTCCCTTTTATCGCGCACTCATTAAAACGGGGGAACAACGGGAGAGCATGGGAAAGGGGACCGACTCGAGGGGTTCCCAGAGGAAACGCGGCTCCCGGTAATTCGATGTCCTTTGTCGGGTGGACATGAAAATTGGACACTTTGTCGGGCAGCTTTCGGGAATGCCATTTCGGGAATTCGACGAGACACTCGACACTCGCGGGCACCATTTTCAAGCGGTGATAAGACTAGATCGTATTTTTTTTTTTTTTTTGCCATTTATGAAATCTGCATGGCGCGGATTATGGGACGCCCGTCTTTTCGAAGGATTTTCGCGTAAATGCATTCGTATCTTCCGATCGGCTTAACGCGTTGCGTGTCCCGTGGCCGTTCGCGGTGTTATCGGTCGCAGGTAAAGTACACGGAGACCTGCACACGCGTTTCAATTTACGCGAATTACCGTGCCCGGGCGCCGCTGATTGCGAAAGCCTCCATCGACCGTCCTAGGGTGGGATCTAGGGAAAAATCGAGAGAAATGTCCGGTAGGAGGATAGAAAATATAAGGAAAGAAGGAAAAATGTCATTTCGCGAGGAGGAAAGGTAAAGAGCAGTCCGATGTCTCCGGGGATCATCCCGTGATAAGGCGAGTTATCGCGGTTTCGAATGGGCGCCTTGACGGTAACGCTTTTCGAGGGCCTTTGATATAAGTATTCCCGGCGTCCCGAAGGCTCTATTGGGCCTTAAGGGATTAAAGCGTAAGCCGACCTCGAGAATTTTCCCGAGCAACCTCTCGGGGGAGAAGAGCCCTCCCGGTAACAAACCCGCGAGGTTGTTATCGCGCCACGCAAATCCCGCGGGATCCCACAAATTTCCCCCCGGGCCTGAAATTATCGCGTCGACTTTCCTCGCGATTTTCCCCTCCGTTCGAAATTCCGCCGAATAAATACCCAACGCTCCTTCCTCGCCGGAAGTACGACGAAAGGCGTCCTTCAAGAGAGGTCCACCCGGAAAGTCGATTCTCGATTTAGGAGTATATTTCACTCGAGAGGAAGGAAAGCCGACTCGACCCCCGTTCCCCTCGGGGCCTGCCAAACCCTCTCGATGAAGGCTTCGACGGAGTTTTCCTTCCCGCCATTATTCGGCAAGTGGCCTTCTATCCGCGGAAAGTATCCCTTTGTGTCCTTCCCGCTCGCCGCCGGTCGATCGCTTCGATCGCCCCGGAGAGGATTTCCCATGATTATCCCCGATTTTCCGGAACGCCTCGAGCAAAACTTCTCCCATCACGGTAGAACATTTCCATATTACCAAAGGAAGCCGATTTAATCAATGAAACGCACTTTTTCACTCGATTACCATTTTTTTCCGTAATTATTGCCGATTATATTAGAGCGTTTCATTTTTCTTTGTTTTTTTTTCTTGTTTTTTTTCCGAGTCGATCCCGGTGGTACCCGGGAGTCGAAATTATAAATTCCTTGTGAATTTCTCGTGAATTCCTAAAAAATGTCTCATAAATTCCTGCTTCCCAAAAAAATCAAGGGGGGCGTCTCGATAAGAGAGGGGGTTCGATCTGGGGGGGTGGTTCGGCACCTCTGTGAAATAGGTATCGCGAAGGTTAGCTGCGGATATCCGCATTGTTTCGGACCACCGAGCCAAGTCAGCTGACCTAGATTAGGCCAGCTGGGCCAGAATGCTGGCACACTTGATGCTCGACTATAGGAAAGCACTTGTCGCCCGAATAACCTCGTCCCCGTCCCCGCGACCTGCTCTATCGGTCGCGAACTGAAGGATACTCGCGCTGATAGCGCCCTGATAACCTGCCGCCTGATATCGCGAACGCTTTACCATTTAACCGGTGGATCTTCGCTGCCGAGGCGAAGATAAAAAAAATTAATATCAAGAATCGACGATCCATTTGAGGAATTAAAAGGCGACCCTCTGTATAATTAGAGTCGACATCGAGTCGTCCATGCCGATCGGCGATGGATAAAAAAAATTGATCCAAGCCGCCCCTTCATTTCGGAATTGGTTTTCGCTCCCTCGAGAGGGGCATTTCCATTTGTTTGCCCTCCGTGGATTGTCCTTTTACTAGGTTTTACTAGGTTGGGGGAGTACAATGGGCACTCGAAGACGGTAATAGGGCGTTATCGCTTGACCCGTTGTCGCGATGCTCCCCGACGATAGGCCAGGGTAAACCAATCGCCGGGAAATGTTATCGCAGATGAAGTGTCGGCCAGGTAAGGTCTCCCTGACGGAGAAGGATTGCTTTGCACACCTGCGTTCTCTCACGACTCGTCGAATCGACCGGGACAGTCGATTCGCTTACCTGAGACAAGGGAAAGGTGAAGGACGGAAATGACTTGATTTTATGTTCGCTCATTAAGAGGAGGTGGAGGGAGCCGCCTACACCCTCGACGTCTCCAGGAGTGCAGTCGAAGCGTCTTCGTAGATTCACGCGTATGTTTGCCCTCGAGTAAAACCCGGCCCTAATTTGTACCTCAAACCGACGCCGAACGTCGTGGCCGAGGTGCCTTTCCAAGAGAGGAGAAAAAAACCTCTGTAATTTAATTATTGAAAGAATAAGAAAAAAAAAAGTGAAGGAAATTAAAGGGGCTCAAATTGTCAGAAAACGCTTTAATAAAATATTCGTTATTCAACCTAACCACCGTGTCGAACTAACGGAAGGATCGATAATAATTGGTGATTACTTGCGATCGCAGTGAAATCCTGGTACTTCGGGTCTTATTAATTTTTTTTTTTTTTTCTTCGCCAAGAGGGTCTCGATTTCTTTTTCTTGGGAAACATCAAGAGAATAATCGGGTTTTGTTATTGGCAGGATATCGGTATTAGTGCCGGGTCCATTATCCGCGTCGTCTCGGCCGCTTTTCTCGCGGCCTTCGTTTCTCCGTTCTAAATGAAAACGGCCTCGAACGGCGTTAAACTGCGAGAAACGCGACTCGGACGACGGCTAGATCCTCTCCGAGATGGAAGAACCCGGTGCCGAGGTTCGGCCTCCGAGATGTACGTAATCGACGTGCTCCGTTATCGATCCTACGGATAACGGCGTTATCACCGGCTACTCTCGTTCTCGTTGCCGCTCCCCTGGGGATTAACGGCGACTGCACATCTCCCACGGCCCCCTTGTGTCGGATCTGTGATCTGACTATAAAAAGACAAATAGTGGATAGAAAAATGGCCGTTCACCGAGTCTATAACTATATGCCGGGATGGTTCTTTATTCATGAACGAGGGAAATAATATTCCCGATAGCGAGTCGTGTGCAATTGCTTCCGCAAAAACTGGTCGGGCATTTATTAACCTCGAATTCGTAAGACGCGCAGAGCGCGCCAATTGCGCGCCGCTCCTTCGACCAATCACGAGCCGCCCCGGGCCCCACGTGACCGGGGTCACGTGGGCCGCGAATCGCGGCGCGCGAAGGCGATAGCCGCGCGCGCCCATTCAGTCGGCTCCGACCACCCGTCCGGTTCGGTTCGACGGATCGATCGAGAGCCGGGCTTCCTTCCGCGGGACCTCGCCAAATCTCGAGTCCGGCTCCGATCCACGTATTTCCGGTCCCGTGCCAAATTAGACCGCGCTTACTCATCGGAGTCTCCCGTGCGTGCACGGGCACGCGCGCCGATTGGCCGTCGCGACGCTCAATGGGACTCGACGGTCGGCGGACGGCCGCGAATTTCACGTGTTGACCCTTCCCGGCTCGAATTCGCCCCGGGGGATGGGACGCCGCCATTTTGAGGAACCCCGCAGGGAGGATGAACACCGACGTCCGAGGTACGAGCTTCTCTAAACCTAACCTCAAACGATTAATCTCAAAACCCTGCTTCGTTCCTTCTCCTAGGATTATCGACGGAAAGTCGTCGGCGAATCCGAGATCCTTGGTAATTGGCTAGGACCTCGGATTTAATTTTAATCCTAAATCCCACGAGTCCTGGAAGAATTGACTGGGAAGGAAAAACGCGTTGGTTGCGGGTTTTCCTCGCGAAGAGATTCGAAGAAATTCCATTCGGCGTCCCGGTGGGAGCTTCTACTCATCCTTCGAAAATCTCCCCGTGTTCTCCACGTCCAAGGGACATCGGAGGATACGCGGAGAACCCGATGATAAGAGGAAGAACACCGAGGAAAAGGACACCCTCCCTTGGGCCGGACTACCCTTCGGAGCGTATCTCTCGACCGGAAAGCAATACCGTCCGGTCCCCTTAACTTTCTTTATGAACTAAGGACCCGCTCCGAAATGGTTGAACCGAGAACGACCTAAAAAAGGTGAAAAATGAGGAAAAGCTGCACGAACTCCGTGGTCTGGCCCGGTAAAGAATAAGCCCTTGCTCGGAAGCAGCGAGGAATTATCCTCTTCCCTCTTTCCGGGGCATTTATTTAGAATTCGCTGTCCGATGTGGCTTTCCTCCTTTTCCTCCTTAAGCTTCCCTTGCCGGGATCTAGCCTTGCGGGAAACGGTGCCAAAGGGCGTATCTAACGAGTATTTGCAATAATTATGCTTAGATAATTATTGCAAATACTCGTAAAGGCTTCTAAAGAGCGATCATTCGAAATCAAGACCAGGAAGTAACGAGATGTCGATGCGAACTCGAAAATGCTAATCTTTCGAGGGATCCGACTACTCGATCGTTCCTCACGATCTTAACGACTTTGTTGCATAATTTATTAGAATAATGTGTCACGCCTCGAGGAGCCGTTGGTCATTTGTTAATCAAAGAGCCGACAGGGGTCGAGGGAGAAACAATCTCGCGGCGAGGCTTAACTGGCGTATTTCTTTCTCTAACGAGTAGGTGCACACTTAGTGCTCCGAGTGGTACATTGTCGCGTAATTGCGATCTCGAGACCATTGTGCGCTAACGCTCCGTAACCGCGTCGATTACGGAGGCAGTGCGTCATGTACGCGTCCAGATCGTCGCGACGCTAAACGTTTAAGTCCCCTCCGATTTAATTCCCTTAAATCTCTCGCTTGCCCCTTGTTACCCGATCCTCTCGTCGAGTTAATCCTCGATTTCGTCCCGAGGATGCTTCCCCGAAATTGTAACCCTCGTACGAATTGCCGCACCGAGCGTTCACCTCCCCCCGGAGCTAACTCCCTCGATAATCCCCGGTTATTTTTAATCTTTTCGATTTAATCGTCGATTTCGTCCCGAGTCCTCGCGCGGAGGGGCACCCCTCGAGGGCCACTTTAGCCCCATCGGCGGTATTACTCTCAAAGTAAGAACAGTACCCCGCTCGTTAGGGAAGCGAGTAAATCAGTCTGAGTGGCCACTTAATCTCCGGCCTCTAGGACTCCGGTGTATTCTTCTGAAAGGAAAAAAATTTCCCGCTGCCTCCCGAGAGCAAATGCACGTTTAATCCGCCCATCTCGAGGCCGTGCTCACGCGGGGGATGTTTCCTCTCTTCGAGGCTCGGGAAATGGGGGATGGTAATTGTCGCGACATCGAGGCTAGGTGATATAGAGTAATTTTTCGAGTTCCTCATTTTTTTTTTTTTTATTTTTCCCCCCATTTTATTTCGAGATTTTCCAGTTTACCGGGGAGGGCTTAAATTATGCATCGCCTGCGGTACGTCGGGAATTATGCGTCGCTAAGGTCGGTCCCGGGGATGTGGGTGGAAATTGCGGAGCTCCTTTTATCACCCGTTCGACGCCCTTTCTCGAGTCTGGGGCGTTTTCTCGATCGGATTACATCTCGATTGCGGTTCCTCGGCACAGCGGCGGGGCATTCTAATTTCGGACGGGCCGATAGGTGCAACGGGAGTATCGATCCCGCGTATCGAATGTCGGTCAGTTTCGAGGTTTACGATGTATCGGGGGCCGATGGCTCCCGGGGAGCATCCGCCGACTCGTAAACGCAATTCCGCGGGCCGCAGGGGGAGGCAGGGAGGCTGCAAGGTAGATATAAGAGCCGGAGATGCGCGATATCGGCGATCCCGAGCACCGGGCATACCGTGGAAATGGCAGGCCCGACGAGGAAGGGGGGAAAAAATGGCCCTCCACGGGAAGGATATTAAATCTCGAGTGCCAGGAATCCGACGGGATATTTGCCGAAATTATGCCGCCCCCCTCGAGCGGCCGAAAAGCGCTAATCTCGAGGAAGGGAGACTTTATATCACTTTATTCATTATTCTTAAGTGTTCACATATATTTTTTTTATTTTTTTTTTTTCTGACGATCCGAAATCCACCAATTTTGTGTCGAACGCGAGGGGGAACTCGGTCTGGCCAGGGATATATGGAAATGGGGAAACTTGGACCGTCTTCCTAATTCTTGTTCGGTAATCGCTCGTTACCGAACACCTCTTGCCTAAGAGCGGCTCGATTTAATCCCGCGATGCGATTTCTCGAGCGGGCTCTTCCGGGCGATGCGGTCGGGATTTTGCGGGCCCTGGCGAAATTTCGTCGTCGAAAGTTGCGGCCATCCTCCCCCTTTGATGTTCCGCTCAGCTGCCGGGAGAATTGCGCATCGATGAAAATGGCCGGCCGAGTAATCGAATCGCGCCGCCCCTCGGTAACTCGGAGCGGAATATTCGAAATCCCTCCCGCGGATCGGACCGTCCTCCGGAATATCGTGGAAGTAGGGAAATATCGCGGGGAGTTTCCGGTACCTGTCCTGGGAGGAGACCGTTCGACGAAATCGAGTGAATTAATGTGAAGAGGCCGATAGACTGACAGGTACATTCCCTCGGAATTGTCATTTTTAACCTCTTCACGGTGCTCCAACTTCTCGAGGGGAGGGAGACTCCTTTTTGCGAAAGATGTATATCCAGCGTTTTGGAAATAATCGACCTCTACTCCCGAATTCCAAGCCACTCGTAATTCACTCGTCAAGGGGCTCTGCCCTCCCTTGGCGGAGTGCACCAGGATGCATCGAGCCACGAAAGCGCGGTACACCTTCGGCAAGTTTAATGGCGGAAAGTACATGCCACGGGCAACCCTGGCGAATTTCCCGGTCGTGGCAGCCCGAGTCGAGACACCTACTAATTTCCCCTGGTAACTTCCCCCCCACGTGATTTAACGCGACCTCGTCACGAGGGAATTCCGCCATTCCGGGGGTCAGCGAATTCCCCCGAGATGCTCCCCCTAACCTGGGGAAAGAGATTCCAAAGAATTCCTCCGTGACTTTCGAGCTGTGTTAATTCATTCCCCCGGTTTTCCATGGGGTCTTCCATGGGGTTCCTCGAGGTGTGTCCGCTCTCCAGCGGAAGAGCAGACCGACTGACAAAACGCGGGCATCCGGAGGTGGCGGAGGGTCCGCGGTTTCCAGCCGGGATCGATAAAAGAGACTTTTCCCGTACCTCCACCGCGCAACACGTGCAATTCCCTAAGAATATCCCGTGGGGCTCTCCTCTCTCGTTCATGGGGACCCCGTGTAAATGACGCTCCCCGCCGAGCGGGGCCCCAGGGTTCCCGCGACTCCGTGCGTGCGCCTTATCCCTGAGTGGATGTAAATTTAACCTTATGGAATAATGCGACATTGTGCTTGGAATTTCTAATGGGACGGGTACACCGCGCGAGTGGACTGCCGATTGCCGCTGCGGGCCTTCCGCGCCGTACGGGAAGCGTTTGGATCCGAGTTCGTGGAAGGCAAATAAAGACCGGCCGATTTAAATACAATCCAGTGGCGTAAGGGCCCCTAAGGAAGTCGATACAGGCGTGGCGGGAATTATGGAGTACTTTGGCGGGACTCAAAGTAACGCCAAAGGTGGAGGTATTTTCTTTTTCTTTTTTTTTTCTTTTTTTTTTTTACGAGTTATGAAATACTTTGGATTTTATTTCTCTTTCATTATTTCCAGAGTCCTTTTGGGACTTGAAGGGACGTCGAGATCCAACGGAAACCTACTTTGGAGACTCATCCCTCTTCTTGGGTTTTTGTCTCCCGTTGATTTTTAATTCCCCTCGTTATCAGTCCGATACGAAATTTATCTATCTGAGATTATTTATACAGCCGTCTGGTAAAGTACCAGACTCTGGCCTGGCCGCGTGTTGTACGCCCACTCGATAGAGACTTAAATCGCCGCTTAATCGCGTTATCAGCCAACTAAACTAGGTTTATTAACGTTTCCATTAACTCCGTGTGTGATAAGGATAACACGGCGGTTATCCGGGGAGGCGTATCAGTCCAGGTGAACCATTCGTCCGATGTGGGAATTCTCGGTTTAATTATTTTTATCCAATTTCATCGGTGAAAAATAAAGAAAGAAATCAACCCCTCTTATCGGGTGGTTTTTCTATTTTATCGAAATTTTCCCGAAATTCTGGCTTCGACGCTTAGAACGGACCATCCGAGCCCCGGTTCCCCCGACCCGGAGACGCGGATTATTTTCCAATGAGACTCGTCGTGACTTTTTCCGCAATTTCCCCGTCGCGGTGTCACCCGGGCGGAAAATCGAGGCGCGACCCGCGCTTTGCAAAATCCCGCAAAAAACGGGGCCCGGTAAAACCGACCAATCGCGTAACGAGCTCACCTGACGGAGACGAGGTATCGAGGTGTATCCTTCCGCGATGTTTTACGCCCAGGTTAATTACCGCCAAGTTTTTTTTCACCGACGAGGCCATCGCTTCGCAATTTCCACCGTCTACGCGGCAGTACTTCCTGTTGGTCTTAGAATCGGTTTCTCGCCCCGAGGTCCCTCTTCCCTCGACGTACCTTTATCGTCCACCTTGATAACAAGAGATACCAGAATTATAATCTAGATTCCTATTATTATTTATTTTTTTTTTTTCGCGGAAAATCTAACGAGTCCGGATTTGTAAAAAGTGGAAAAAGGACGCGCCTTGGGACGAATTGAGAAAATCTCCTGGGAGATTTCCCGATGGCTCGACAGATCGGCTCTTCCACCTTGCGTTACCTTTTAACGCTGGAAGAGAGAATCGCATAAATTATCCAGCCACGTTTAGGACACGCACGTTTCCCTGGGAAACTCTCGCCCGGTAATTACTATCAGCCGGGAAGTCTATTAATTACCCCACCGAATAACGGCCTGGATCCTGCGACGAGCAGGTCGTCAACCTGCGAAACGTCCAACCTAGACCTCGGGGCCAAGATTTATTCCCAGGTCGTCGGGAGTCACCTGTCAGCTGATCGGGATCGAAGGGCTTGCGGACGTATCGCTGGGAAATGGAAAATAATAAATACGTGTATATAATATATATGTATAAAATGAGGGAAAATTGCGCACGCTCGGTGATTCCGAATTTCCGCCTCCGGGGGGGGAGGGGGGGGGGGGCGGATTAAATCGAAATGCAAATAGCCCCGGCCATCCGAGAGGCGTAAAGTCGGCCCGTAAAAGCAGTGCACGCTCGGTGAACTTTCCCAGCGATGAACTCCCCGAGATATCAGGCAAGAGCCGTGATAAGGCGCCGGGACGCGCGGCGAAAAATTAACCGCGAACCGGGAATCCCGGATGGAGGAAGAAAAGGCCTCCCAGGAGAGCGGAAAAACCTCCGCGAGGTCTCTGAACTTCTTTCCGGTGCGATTCCACGCGTATCGATCTAAGAGCAAATAATCGATGACAGAAGGTATACCGCCTTATTTTATTATTTCTTTTTTTTTTCTTTTCACTCCACGCACTCATGAGTCACGTGAATTTCGTAGAAACTCATGTTACGCGGAGCTTCGGTGGAAATAGAAAAATCGCGGGCTTCCGGCCCTCGTTGCACCAGGGGTTGAGCAACCGTGCGTTGCGTTTACTCGACGTAGGCCGACGTAGTAAATTTCACCGAGGAAACGACCTCGTTGCCGTAATTGTTACGAGGAGAGAAACCTTTATTCCTACCGTGACGTTTCGTGCAAAACGACAAACTCGGCCTTCGCGTCGTCCGACCGGAAAGGAAACGCGTACGGAACGAGCACGTTAAACGCGGCGTTACGAGAAACCGCGACCGAGGGTCGATAATCGAGATCGACGTGCAGATTTCGACCTCCTGGAAATTTCGCAAAAATGGGAGATTTATTCGGTGTACATTAAGTATTGGTATCGAGGAAGAAAAATCTTTATCTCGGGACCATCCTTCGTCTCATCCTCGAGACGAAGATTTATCCCCTTGGTGCCGATATATAAANATAAAAAAAATTATAGGTATATGTTCTTGGTCTCGACGGTCGCTAAAATGTCCTTTCGTCGTCGACTGTTGCAGATCGATCCAAAATGGCGGACCATCCGATGCACTCGTCATTGCTAAGGTGAGCCCGAGTTCGGGGACTCGTCCCCGGTTATTCTTCCACGTAATAATAACCGCGTGTACGAGGAGCTCGAATCGCCAGGCTCGGCTCCGAGTCGTCGCGATCGCCGGGCAGAAATTCCATCCGGGAATATCTTTAAGTTCTCCGCATTTTTTCTTGGCCCGCGATCAAGTTGCTCGTCGCGTGCGCCTCGTCGAGGGATTCCTCCCGACGCGCCGTGTAGAATTTCGCCCGGAAAAAGCGGCGACATCGGACGAGGAAAACCTTGCTACCGCCGCACCCTCTTCATTTCCATTTCCTTGGGCGACCCTTTAGGAAAAAAGAAAAAAAAAAAGAAAATTGAAAAGGTACCGAGCCCCCGAGTGGCCCTTCGAGCTCGTCCTCCCTTCATTCCATTGTATCGAAGTCGTCGTTAACCCTTTCAGTGCCGACCGAAGTCGTTAACACGCGGACAAACGGCGATATATCGTTCGCCAGTAAAAGGGTTAAGGTGATGTGAAAGTAGCATCGAAGAGGTTTTGTTTATAAAACTTTCCCCTCCCACCTCGATTTACCGAACGGCTTGAAACTTTACAACGTGAACAGGGAGACTACAAGGGAGGTCCTGAAACTCATGAAATTTCAATTCCCTTTCAAATTTCTTTATAGGTATTTTAAAAATACTTGATAAAAAATGAAATTTCCCGAGTTTCAGGACCTACCTTAGGGTCTCCATATTCACGGTTTAGCGTGAAACTATTTGAGACCCTTCCGCGTATATATATTTTTCTTCCATTTTATCTCCTCCGATTATTCAGTTTCCCTCCTTTGTCTCGCCATTTCTAGGCGGAAAAAAAGAAAAAAAAAAAACGTCGCCTCGTATTTCCCTTTCGGCGCGAAGAAGGCGAAGAGGAGCCTCCTCGTGTGTCGCCGAACACGCGTCGTTACACAATGTCGAGGGGCCTGTCGGCGAAGCCTTAAATGCGGCGACCTCTTAACTCGGTCGTTTGCGCTCTTCCAGGCTCTTTCCGATCTTTTTTCTCTCCTCCCTTTTTCCTCGGGTTTCTCTATTTCTCCCCCCCCCCCTCCCGGGTCTCCCTCTCGCGAGATGACACGCCGTCGCGACAAATAACGCCCCGGCGACACGCGAGGGCTTTCGCCTCGTCGAAAATGGCACTCGTCGGGCGAAATGAAATTCCCCGTCGCGACCCTTGACACGCGATCGGCGCCGCTCAAGGGATTAAAAGGGCCACCTCTTGCGTGGTATTACACGTCCCCGGTCGATATAGCGATAAGGGATCGCCGCCCAAATGAATTTGTTGACGGTATATCGATCTTGTTTCAGGAGGGCCACCTAGGGACGCCAGCATGAGAGGTGAGTCTTGGCTGCGGTTCAAGTTTCCCCCCCGAAGGAGAGGGCGGATCGTCGTGACGACAATCGCCGCCCCCTGATTAGGCCTGACGGAAATTTCGACGGAAACGTCCCCCGGAGTGACGCGGGTCGTCCTACGAAATGACGGAAACGCAGGGGTGGAAATTTCCGGGCAAGGGACGGGATGAAAATACCCCGACAAAAGTCGCGGACCAGACTCTCTGGTTTGAAATTATTTCCTGTGAATTTCATCTTTCTTTTCTCTTTTCTCTCTCTCTCTCTCTATATATATATCCTTTATCGAATTCTCATCTCGTTCCCCTTTTCCCTCCTTTTATCGGGAAATTCGCGACGGAGGGTGGAAGGGAATTTTCTTTCTCGTCCCCCCCCCCTTCGACCCGCAAACCCCCTCTGCAAGGCTTCTTCTTTCTAGGGAAACCGCAGGAATCGGAGCCGAGCGGAGGGACCTTAAGGCAGTACACGATTTACTCGTTGTACACGAGAAAAAAGCCGGTCTCCTCGCGAGGTAAAGGATCAAAGTATACGTAGACCCTCGCACTACCCCGTAGGAGAAACGGCGAGTAGAATTAGCGCCTCCGTCAACGAGGGAGGATCGATAATCGATCGATCTCAACTTGTCCCCTCTACGCTTCTCGCTTTAATTTTAAGCTAGCGCGCCCACCTTAGGAAAATCGTTTTTCTCCCTAGGGATAAAATTCCGCATTTTTCCTTTGCCCTTTTCTATTTGAGAGTCCATAAATATCTGAATAAGTATCGACCGGAAGTACAGGATTTCGTACATGGTGGGGGTGCTGGTTTCAATGAGCTGGTCCTCCCGGAAATAGCCGGGCAATTAGGCGAGACTTTCCGAAGGCTATTTTCTCCTCCATTAGGAGTCACTTTTTTTTTCCCCCACCCCTTTTCCTCTTTTTCTCTTGCTTTTCATTTTTTTTTTTTTCCCTGTGAGCCCGGGAATTTTATAAATAATCGGGGATCCGTCCTCGAGGTTACCTGAGGCCGCTCGTGCGGTCATTTGGAGGAATAACGTCGTTTGGTCGTTAGCGAGCCAGCTGTTCTCGCGAAGTCGCCCGGGCATTATGACATTTGCGTCATGTTTGTTAGCCGTGGTGGAAGCAACAAATGACCGGCCTGGGATCCCGGGCGGTGCGGAGCTCTCGTGCTCCACATTGGGGACAAGTTTAATTAAACGGCACCCTAATTCGCAGACGATGCCTTTCCGTGACCCGTAGAAAACCGAGTCGCCTCGGAGACACCCTCGTCTCCCCTTTTTTACCTCTCTGAAGAAAAATGACCAAGGTACTCGCCGGCAAGACCTCGCGTCACCATGAAATTTCCCTTTCAGCCCCCAATTCTCTATAAAACCTTTAATATATATTTATATTATGAATATAAAATATATATTCCCTAATTTTACATCGGCACCCGGCACGCGCACTCTATGTACACGTCGCCTATCCACGTGCACTTGGCGCGCTAACTCTACTTGTACGTGGTATGCCCTCGGGCATTTATGCGCCCACATGCCGCGATATCGACCGCACGTTGCATACGGTGCATACGGTGCATACGGGGAATACGCGTGTGCGGTAGGTCGGCCCGCGAAATGACCCGTGACCCGTGTTTTAATTAAACGTTCAATTAAAATTCAAAAGGACCAGGTACACATTTATATATTATTTTTTAACCCTGCTCTCAAGATTCGCGGCTACTGACTTGCTTAATTTTTTTTTTTGCTTTTTTTTTTCTTCTCGTCCGATCTTTCCAAGCCAAGCTTGTAGAATTAAAACCGCGGGCATTATGAATTTAGCATACCGCGAGGCATACGAGTCGCGTGAATTGATTAGCCTGATTAATTTATTCTCGATTGTTTGCGATAACGGTGAACGAAAGATCGCCCGATAATTCGGATTTCCTGTCGGCGAGGTGGTGTTTTGGCCGTCCTCGCTCGACACATGGAGTAATGCGTAATTACTGTAATTACGCTCTCCTAACTGTATCGCCCGGTCTCCGTCGTATTTCTACAATTACGGGTACCTCCGGAATACGTACTTCGCGGTGGACCAAGGGGAATGTCATTAACTCCGCTATCGTACCGCCGAGTTTTAACGGCGAGCCCACTCTCCTCGGGCGAATAATTTCCCTCAGAAATTTTAATTAACCGGATATCTTTTCTACGGCCCGGCCAATTTGCCATACCACCCCGGGCCTGAAATATGTCCGGGGATTCGGATCGAGATATCGATATATATCGCCGCAATCTCGCGTGGCAATCGATCGGGCCACGACCAGGCTGAGGGAAATCACATTCGCCATGGGACGAGGCATTGCTTTGCCAAAGAAATCACGATTCGCGCGGTGCGCTGATTTATAAGTCCTAAAAGCGTGCCGCGAGGAAACGATCCCTTTCCATATATTTTTTTTCTTTTTTTTTTTTTTTTCTTATTATACCTCCGTTTCTCTCCCCTTCGCCGTTCCCTCCTCCCCGAAAAATTCCCCGTCTCCGGTCGCGGACAAATTTCCCCGAATGCAAATCCCCTTCGCCTAGGTACACGTACGTGTACACGTGCACTCGCGGCATTTCTCCAAATAACTTTATAACTTCGCGGGCGCCCCGGCGTGTACGCGAAATGCGAGTACCTCGGAGAGGCGCCGTGAAAAAGGTGATTTTTTTTATCCCTCTCTCTCTCTTGCATTCACGAGGACGTTATTTCGGTCTTAGGGAAGGGGGCGAAATTGTGTATTTCGCAGGATTGAAAGGTATGAATTTTTTACCCACGGGAATGAAAGTTTATTTAATCGGTTAATTATTTCCCGCGGCCGAAAGTTACTTCTCGAGGTGGAGCTTGGACTTGCTCTAGATGGGGCTCTGGCTACGCTGTTTTAATTTCTTTTTGTTTTTTTTTAATCGGTGATGTGGGTAAAGAAAAGTCTAAGAGAAGNTCTTAGGGAAGGGGGCGAAATTGTGTATTTCGCAGGATTGAAAGGTATGAATTTTTTACCCACGGGAATGAAAGTTTATTTAATCGGTTAATTATGTCCCGCGGCGGAAAATTACTTCTCGAGGTGGAGCTTGGACTTGCTCTAGATGGGGGTTTGGCTACGCTTTTTGTTTTTTTTTTTTTTTAATTTTAATCGGTGATGTGGGTAAAGAAAAGTCTAAGAGAAGAGTTTTTCGTCGATTCCAGGTGTGCCGGTCGTCGGGGGTGTGGTAAGAACGGGTCGAGGGGCCCTGGTGAGGACCCTGGCCCTGGTGTTCCTGGCGACGTTCCTCTGGCTCCAGCTACACGTGGTCAGCCTGACGGGCCGGTCTCTGCCAAACTCCTCGGCTGCCAATGAGACCCTCTACGCCCTGGTGCCCCAGGAACTGCACAGGTGAGACGAACTGCACCTACGAAAAAAATGGGAAAAGTCAGATGAAGGTTTTAAGAAAAATGAAGAAAAATTCCCCACCCGGTGATCCGACGATTCCGATCGTTCTCTCTTTCCTCAGGTACCTGAAGGACACCAGGAACGCGAGCGGCCTGGCGAACTCGACTTCCGGGACCCTGACGGAGCCAGAGATCGCCGAGATCCGGCGTAACATCGAGAGGGCGAACAGCGAGCAGAAGATCTACAACGAGGAGGCTTTCGGCCCCCTGGCTCCGGACGCCCCCGTCATCGTGGTCCAGGTGCACGTGAGGCTGACCTACCTGCGGCACCTGATCGTCTCCCTGGCGCAGGCCAGAGGCATCGAACAGGCCCTGCTGGTCTTCAGCCACGACGTCTGGCACCCTGAGATCAATTACCTGGTCCAGAGCGTCGACTTCTGTCGGGTCATGCAGATATTCTACCCTCACAGCATACAGACCCATCCGCACACCTTTCCCGGGGAGGACCCCAACGACTGTCCCAGGAACATCCACAAGGAACAGTGAGTGCCGGCCTGTACTACATATATCTACAATGAATAAAAATAGGATTTGCATTAATTTATATAGGGAGGGTACACCCAGGGCAAGTCGGAAGGAATATCGGTGGGCAAAGTCGGAGCACCTCTTCACGGTATACTCCCGCGCATGACGGGTTGCCTGTCGTCCAGGGGAATTGGTTTTACGTACTCGGGCTTGCATTTCGGATGGGGAATTTTTTTATTATATCTAATAATACTTATTTGATCCAGTAGGAAAGAAAATTGCGAAATCGACTCGAGCGATCCTCCGTGGTAATCCAGAATGCTGTCGGAGTGCACTTCCTGACCTCTGACTCCGTTTCCAATCAGGTTCAGTGCCCCCTCGTCACGCAAGACGGTATTAAGATAGATTAAATAACACAGGCTTCTTCCGAACTGCTTGCGTCACTGCCAACTCGCGTTTTGCCTCCTCGTTTTGTTCTCGGTTCCGAGATGGCTCGACCGCTATCTTCTCCCTCGAGGTGCACTCGTCCGCACGCGGAACGCCACGCGACCGCGATTAGAATTAAGCGGCGATTAAATGGCGATTCGATCGTCCGGGAGAAACCGACACCGGATGTCGCGGTGCGGAACGTTTCGAAACATCGATACCGAGGTAGCCCGAAGACCCGATGAATTATCCGAAATGATTATGAATCGTTATAAATTCCTATAAAATTGTTATGGGTATGTTTTAATTTTTTTTTCTAATTTTTTCCGTCCACCGCAATGCTTTAATCGAACCGACTCCCTCTTCCACAGCGCGCTGAACCTGAAGTGCATAAACGCGAAGCATCCGGACCTCTATGGACACTACAGGGAGGCGAAGTTCACCCAGACGAAGCATCACTGGTGGTGGAAGGCCAACCGAGTGTTCGACCAGCTGACCGTGACCAAGAACCACACGGGCATGGTCCTCTTCTTGGAGGAGGACCACTTCGTGGCCGAGGACTTCCTCCACGTCCTCAGGCTCATGGAGCGCACCTGCAAGCACAGCTGCGAGCGGTGCAACGTGCTCTCCCTGGGGACGTACTTGAAGACCTACAGCTACTACGGCGAGGAGAGTCGCAAGGTGAGGACCCTCTGCTCGGCGAACTCGGATATCGGGCGTCGCGACGTCGGGGAGTCCTTATCAACCCTGACGAATTAACGGTCCGACATTTTAGAGGACCTTTTCCTCGATAAACCAGGGAAGATCTCGATGCAGGAGTTCATCGGTCGGCGGCTCGCCCTCGAGGAGCGGCATTTTACCCCGGAGACCGTCTTGAAGAAAAGCAACCGCGAAGAAACTCCGGAGCGATAAGCCGGAGTGCGTCAACCTCCGATCTCGTACGTGCTCATTGCTAGGCGTAACGAGCTAATGAGGTTCAACGAGTGGCGATAAAACGGCGGTCTCGATGACTCCTGCATCTCGATCCTCTTGGACGGGACGACTCCTGGAAACACTCGCGCTCTTAGGACGAAGGGACCCGGAGGGCTGGAAAAAATTCTGAAATTATTTACCGCGGTGATTACGGCGGATGGGAAATCGATCACCTGGTTATTTTTTTTCCTGGGATATGGAGGGAAGACTCCCCGATGTCACGAGACGTCGCGTTCCCTGCTCCCGTTGCCCTCGGCATCCGCGGTCACCAGGGTACCGTCGATCTTTCCGACGTCACCACGAATGATCGTAATGCGAATGTTTCACGCAACCCCCCGTAGTACCTCGGCGTCAACGGAGCCCTGCAAAAGGAACTTCTCCGCGGGCTAAAGAGACACGAGGGAGCAGCTCAGCAGGGTAGCGTGTCCACGTATCAGGGTGCCCAGACGGGGCAACCCGCCCCGGCATGGGCTTACCAGCTCTTGCCGAGCCTCTACAACCATTACCAGAAGGTCTCAAGACAGAATCTTGCAAGCTCCGCCTCGACGCAACCTCCTTGCTAGCCCTTCGTCTTTGCCGGCCCCCGAGGGAGACCCTCCGGCGAGGACCTGCGAGTCGTCGAAGACGGACCGCCGTGTCCTCTTTTTATTGTTCCTTTTTTTTTTTCTTTTTAATTTTATTTTAATCGAAACGCGGTAGGAGCGCATGTCCTCGTCCGAGGGACTCCGGTCGACCTATCTCCGGCCAGGACTCGTAGCCGAGGTTCGACTCGAGGTCCGAGGTCACTCCACTTTTGGCATCCTTTCAGATGTGGCTGACGCTAAAGAAACGACGACACGCCTCGGGTCTACCGCTCTCCTCCGGGTGCCTCGCTGGACGATAGCCGGCAGTCTTGGCCTTTTTCTAATGACCCCTCGGAGTTATATTCCCTCTTTGAAGCTCTCCGATCGATGTCCCGAGCGACCTCCTCCGACCTCCTGCCGAAAACGAGTCCTCCGAGGAGCGTCTAAAAGAAAATCCATACGAGGTTCGAAGGCCCCGGATAGAAATTTCGTTACTTAACGTGTACCTGTTAATGCGCGTAAATAATCGGGGACGTATTTATTTATGTTTATTTATATTTATTCATATCTATTCTTATTCAGGGATTAGTATCTAAATTACTGCCGATCGGGCGGGCGTCAGGGAATTCTTTGGACGGTGATTTTTGATTTTCTTTAGACGCAACGGGTGGACTCGAACGAATATCGGCCGGCCGATTTCCCGGGGTGGAATGTCGTTTCCTGCCGTGAAAAATTCTCCACACTCGAATAACCGAGGTGGCACTTGGTCCTGTCGGGGTATGAATCACGGTCGTTCGTTCGGCCGCTCGTATTTCGGGGCCGGGGCCACTCGTAAAAACGTTGAAAAATTCAACGAGCCACTCGACGAAATGCCCCGAAATGCGAAACGGCAAAACGGGCCGAGTCCTCCGGTAGCCGTAAAAAAGCGAGGAACGCTCGAACCCTACGACGGGTATTCGCCTCGACTTGTCTCGATATTTCTCTAGGCTTACGATGCGTCGATTTTTCAGGATACCGGCGCTAAATCGCCGGATAAAATCGAAAGTCCCCGAGAAGGAGATTTAGACGCATCGTTAGGAGGTCCGGAAGAGACCGGATCGGCACGAGTTCGGTCTCCTCGGCGGAGAGCTTCATCGCGTAGATCGTAGATCTTGTCCCATACTCCTGGCCGATCTCGCAAGCGATCTAAGGCGCCTCATCGAACCCTCGGGAATTATTAATAAGTAATATAATTAATTAATAAATTATATGGGGACGAAAATCGATATGCGCGACCGCTTGCGAGATCCGAGGGTCCTGACGATCCTGCCAAGGGTCGACGGGAAACGTGGCCGGGAGGGAGAGCCGAGTTTTTCTTCCCGTTCTCCAAGAATAGTCCCGTAGTTAGTTGTCAATGGTGCTCGTCGAATTTCCTACGGGGAGAATGACCCCTCTCTCTGGACGTGGTAGTGTTGACGGTACGTCGCATGTAGTTGCATGTTCCGACTTACCAGTTATCAATTTTATATCGCCCGTGTGTTACCCTATGTGTTAGTAGGCTCCGTTTTATTTTGTCATGCGGAAATTGCGCCCGCGATTGGCACGGGGTCTGGCGATGGATTGACAGTCGATTAACGTCATTTAACGAATTACCGATAGGTACCTAATTGACCCGACGATCGATCCAATCGTCGCCTTCGGTTAACAGGTCATCTAAGACTTGCCCCCGCTTTGCTCGTCACGAGCATCGAAACGTGACTCGTAGTCTCCCATTTCCTATAATTTCACCATAGACGCGTTTACAAACTTTCCTTCCCCCCCCCCCCCGCGAGCTAGTCGTAGAACTCTTAATCTCATTAACCGTAGGTAAAATAATTATTAATATCTATGGATTTTAACGAACGATCGCAAGTTACCCTCGAACCTGTAGACGATAACATCCTCCTTGTCAAATAGGAGAACGCCATAAAATCCTGGTTTAGTTTCTAGCGAATCACAGATTGTTATACCCTATATCTACCCTATGTTCGACATGTACGCTCTTAGGAGATTCCGCGGATCCGAGATTTTCAAAATTTCAAGAGGGACCTTCCTCGAGGACTGAGAATATTCCCGGAGGTCGGATAAAATGCCATATATCGAGAGTCCCTCCGAAATTCGATTTTCCCTTTGGCCTCCCTTTTTATCCTATTTCGGAGTTAATAATTGAGCTCGGATGCGGAAGGAAGACCCTCGGGGCGAGAGGTCTCGCTTCCCGGGGTCCATCTTGTACCCCAGGGTCCCGAGGGAGCCGTCGTTACTTAAACTATGGTCGTTGGGTCTAATTAATGTTGGCTCTGGTTTCAACAGGCCGAGGTTACGCCGTGGATCTCCAGCAAGCACAACATGGGCATGGCCTTCAGTCGCGTCACCTGGAACAAGCTGAGGAAGTGCGCGGTGCAGTTCTGCTCCTACGACGACTACAACTGGGACTGGAGTCTTCAGCATATAGCTCAAGGTTGCCTTCCTCCCAGCAGAGGTGCAGGAGCTGCTCCTCGAATCGACTCCGGCCTCGTCGCGATGGTCATGCGAGCACCGAGGGTATTCCACATCGGTGAATGGTACACCTGAAGAAATGCGAAATAAATTAGAGCACTCTTCTTCGGGAACATTTTATAGCGATAAATGATACTCTGCTCTAGCCACGAAGAAGAAGGGACGCGGCGAGTTAAATGTCGCAGCTTAAATTAATCTGGATTGATACTTTTTTTTTTTTCCCCATTTTTTCTTAGCGGCGTGCACCACAAGAAGAACAACTGCGAGTCCACGGCGGTGGTGGCGAAGATGCAGAACGTCCTGAAGACGGCTCGTAACCACCTCTTCCCCTCGCAGCTCACGTTGACCGTGGTGGCGGTGGCCAAGAAGATGAAGCTGAGGAAGGGGAACGGAGGCTGGGGCGACGTCCGCGACCACGAGCTCTGCTGGAACATTACCATGTACCCAGACCTGGTGTTGCCTTAACCCTTCGGATGCTCTTCCACCGGGACGAGAAGATGGCCGAGTACTTTGTGATAACGGCGCAGACTCCAGGATGTCACAAGAGTCCTCGGATCCGACTACTTCGGAGTCTCTACGGGTTGAAAATGGCCACTTGCAGACACTCGGGGTCGACTTTGACCAAGCTCGGGAAAGTCGGGGGATTTTCGAGGGAAGAGAAATCTGGGAGCTGCCCTCGGCCTTTTTTCCTGGCCGGATTTAAATCGTTAACTCAGGAAGGCGAGCGCTGCTCCCGGGTTTTTGGAATGCTCCAAGAGAAGGCTGGCGAAAATCCTGGAGATTATATATATATATATATTATGGCTAGCTAGCAGGACGGGAAAAATTGGAGGTAACGTGGAAAATTGCCGGGACTTTCGCCGCACTCTTGGGAGGGCAAGGACTAGGTAGTCGCGTGTATCGAAATCGAGGTGATAGTCTTCTAGACCTTCCAGTGACGCTTAAATAGGTTCTACGTAGGTCGAGGCGGGCGTTAAGCCGCGCCTTAAATTAATCCCGATTAATTAAGCGGTGATATTCGTACGTGAGATGTATTCGGTGGTCGGTACGGCTTTCGAGGGACCGAACCGCTCGTGATAAACGTACCGATGGACACCATGTGCAAGTAGTTGCGAGCTGAGCCTAATGTAGTTGTGGCGAACGAAACACCCTTGACCGATCGCTGGGCGATTCGGTGATCGGTGCGAGCCAAAGGTACACGACACGTTTTGTTACTTAAGGTTTCCTACGTATACAGGCCGCGGCTGGTAGAAACTTTCGAAAGATCCGATCGAATGTGGATTTCGCGTAATCCGAGTACTAGCGAGGGGGGCCTCGGGAGAGTAAGACCTCTCGTTCTCGTTCCTTAGGCTTATCAAACTTTTGTAGTCTTCGTCCTCGTCCCTTAATCTCTCTTTATCGCTTCCTCTGGAAGACGGCCGAAGTCGCCTTAGTTAGTTTCTTAAGTTATGTGATCGTTGAAGCGGTCATTTAGTTTCAATTGTACTTGACCGCTGGGTAGGAGAGACATTCGGGTACTTATTTTTCACTTAAGTGCAATCGCATTCTTCGCGTCGATAAATCGCCGTCGATTCGTCGTCGCTACGTGACCATGCATCCCTCGATCGTTACTGCTAAGTAGCCGCGATTCTCCGTTCACGTCGCTAATGCAAAAACCAAAAATTATACCCAATAGGTCAGAGAAACCAATGAACACGGTGCTCCCTCTTGCGCGTCTTTCGCGGGTCTTGCTCGACCTTAATTCCTAATCGCCGCGAGTAGTCGGCAACAAAGCTTACGAATTTCTGCGGCAATTCGAGTAAAGATCCGTGGACCCACGAGGGAGTAAACTATCGACGGACTTAGCCGATAGGGATATTTATTTAACTCCAAGCGTCGCGTCTTCGGATACTCAAGACCGTATCCAGTTTTTCGTATGCTTAACGAACTTGGATTTTCTCGAGACTTCGTAACGATCGGATAAGCACTATTAATTAGATTTTTCACTAAAGAGGACTCTGCTACTCGTTAAAGAAATTCTTCTATCTCGAATATTCGCGTTTTCGGACACTTCGAGTCCGTCTGTCCCGCTGAAATTTCTCGCGTCTAATCTAAGTCTCCTTTGCCATCAAAATTGACATTCTCTAACTCGTCGTAGCGTATGGAAACACTATAATCGAGTCGCTTGTCGGTATAATGGAAAAAAAAAAAACACTCGTTTCTTTCGCTTGGTCGTTGAATCGTCGAAATAGCCGCAAATCACTTTTTAAACCGAGACGCACACATGGTATTCTAGTCATCGTAAGTAACGTATCGTTAACGCTATTTAATGTTGGACTGTACGACTTAACGAGATGGAAGATCTACCTTGTTAAGGGATAAGATCTGTCCGGACAGTGATCTAAATTCGTACTTCGCACTCCAGGGGGTGCACGTTCAACGTCGTGTACAGTTTGTATTTATTTCGATACCAACGAGACGCATTAGAAATGACTTTATCGAAGTTTTCAGGACATCGGGCCGTCGTTCACCCTTTATATAGAAGACGAAGTTCCGAAGGAATTCTCAAAATAAATCCCGCGGTGTATTAACTGGCGCTATCGAATCGGACGTTTGATAAGAAATTAAAAAAAAGAAAAAAGAAATGAGTAATTCTCATTGCTCGAGCGCGACGTAACCGCGGGTACTTCCATAGGAGGGAATGAAACTTTCGTCTTCGTCTTCTGTGACAAGGCGCGCTGTAAACCGCATCTCGGTCACGATGGCCCGAGGATCGTTTAAAGACGAAAGTAAGTGAGAAAGTTCGCATCTTTCATATTAGAAAGCGTCCCGAGTCGCTCCGTTGTATCTAATCCGATAGCGACAACGGACTAGGGTCGGATCCTATATATCCGTGTACATAAGTAAGCTTTACGAAACATTTCTATGATTATACGGGGTGCATTTGTAAGGATAACACGGCTTAACATGTCGCCGGACATCGCCTATGCATGTAAATAGACTCGCAGAATATGCAGGCAGTAAACGCACGCGGACTTTTTTTAAATTAAAGATTTTAAGGGAGGTCGCATTGCCGGATTAGGGGTTTCACGATCCTTACGGCCATTACATTTCCGTAACGACGTAAGTGTTTTATATCGCAATAAAATCAATGTTCCTTCGACTGCAACTTCATTTTTATTCCTCTTCGTTCTTCGGCCGTTAAATAATAAATCCTCCTCGTCTTTCCGACCTCACGCGTGATAATTTTTTAATGCCTTGTTTAACGGAAGCCCAATTGCTTGTGAATCGTAGGTACGTAATCGTTGTATTGAACCTTCATGAAGTTCCCTGCGATAGGCCCCTCGAGGTTGTACTTCTTCGCGAACTTCTTCACGGAAAATCGGTTCCTCCTGTTGTCTCTGAAATTCGGGACGAAGGATTAGGACCGGGAGGAACAGCCGTGGGATTTTTTTTAATCGCCAGGATTTATAATAATTCCGCTCACCTGTTTCCCAGTCTCCTCTCGTCGAAGGTAATGGAACCTTGGTTTTGTTTGTAGAGAAGGAACACGTAACGATGAATACCGGTGTCCTTGGGAGGTGCTGGACCCACGTACTCGGTCAGGACTTCACCTTTTGGCACTTTGTCCTCGGGGATGTTCCCTACGACCCAATGCTGCCACTCGCGGTTGTATCCTCGAACGGGGACGTCGGGATCTGCAATTGCGCGTTTATGGATTTATCACGGACACGTGTAAAGGCGAAAAAAGGATTGTTATCCTACGAAATCAAGGACTAAACTCAATATCCTCGTGCATGACGTAAATACGTATAAACGCATTTCTCACGGTTCGGAAGATTTCTATCTTAGGCATTGTCATTTCCCATTAGCCTGCGTATAAAACCGGGGCACCAATTAAATCATTGATCCGATTAAGATCTAATTGTTGTCATTAGCTGTCGCTGTATTGAAATTATCTCGAAAGACCTCAACGATAGAATGGCAAATTGTTGCTTCGATGGCGAGGCAAAAGGTGTTGGCAAGGATAAACTGGTTTCTCGAGAGGTGAAAGTACGCTCTTCGTTGATTTAAGGTCACACGACACTGCGGTTGGAAACCTCTAAGAGTACGCTGACGTCTTGCAGAAATGCCAAAGATGAAGAATTAAAAAAAAAGGAAACAAAGTCGCTGGTTAAATTTGAAGAAGTGGATCTTGTAAATCATGGAGAAATTTGGAATGATCGATGGGGATTTACCTGTCAGGACCAGGGTGTACAGGACACCGCCTTCGTGCTTGTAGTGGACCTCGGGAATGTCTTTCGTCACGGTCGGCGTCAATTCGTTTCCCAAATTGACGCTTTCGTTTCCATATTTTACCTGTTAACAACCGTTACCATATTAGTCCGATATCCCTTGAGGTACTACATGCCACGCGGTATAAATAATAAATTAATAATAATTAAAGTACCTCGATCAATTCGGTCGGCGCTTCCTCCAAAATGTCGGCCACAATTTTGGCAGACTCGAAAACGGATTTCACGTCCGCCAATGTCAAGCCAATTGCTCCAATGAAAAGACCTGTATAATGTATAAATTGACAGGATATCGACAGACGTAACGTGCCCATTAATAATTCCGTAATCTATATTTCTTTTTTAATAAGCTTGAGAGATATATCTTACTTGAAGTATACGAGTACCTATAAAATTAGCTGACTACGGCCGATCGTTGGAGCCGATTATCGGGAAATTTATAGGTACACGTTCTCAAATAAACGAAACACTATTAATATAGTAACGACCAGATTTACATACCCGACACCAGCAGCTTCATCGTTGTGAATGCCATGACACCGAGTCGTGGTATAACCGGCTCGCCGATGAAAATTTGTGTTTTATACGTGCCCTCCCTGCCACCGTAGAAATGTGACTCGCCGAGTAAGTCGCGGAAACTTTTGCGGCCCGCAAATGCGACAAAGACTCCAAGGCTACTGTTAACGTTTCATGCGATCTCACCTAGGAAAACAATTAAAATTAATCACAGTTACGTAACACAATTTTCTGAAATTTAAGGATCGAATGAATTGTGGGAAAAAAAAATAGGTGTCACGATATATACCCAAATGCATTTATTATGGATGAACTTTAGTAGCAAATCGTTACAAATAGTTTACGGTGCCCTCTATATTTGTAGTCCAGATTATGCGATTACAAAGTAATATTCGTACTGTCAATGAAACTCGGTTTAACCTCCCAACTGCTTATAAAGCGTCGGAACGTAGTCATCCCATTCAGCCTGATACATATTACCGGCAATAGGATCGCCCAGCTTATACTTTGCTGCAAATTTCTTGATAGAAAAACCTCCACGACCATCTCCGCTTTTATTGGTCAAGCGCTTCTCGTCGAAGCTGATCTTGCCGGGTTGCTTATAGACAAGGAATACGTATCGATGAAGACCGGTATCCTTTGGTGGTCCTGAGCCGACGTATTCGGAAAGGACATCTCCTTTGGATACGTCGGTTCCAGGTATGTTCCCGACTAACCAATGGTGCCATTCACGGAATTTTGGTTCTTTACGGCTCGGAGCATCGGGATCTATGGAAATTACAAAAGTATTAAATTAACTTAATAATCGGTACATACATTATTCTCTCCTCTCATACTTACCGGTCATACAGAGAGTGTAAATGCCATCGGCTTCTGCATCCCAAGTAACGGTAGGTTGATCCTTGACTTGAGTAGGCGTTAGTTCCTTCCCAAGCTCCACGCTAACGCCACTAGGATAGACGACCTTAGTCAGTGCCGGTGGCACCTTGTCGACCACATCGGGCACTACGCCGTGAGTTTTCAATCCTTCGGTCATCGAGGATAAGAATTTTTTTCCCAGTTCCAGCAAAGACCTTCTGTAAAGTAGGTTAGCTGAAAACGAAAAGAGACTGATTTCAGACGATACATTCCATGGAACAACCGGCAACAATTAATGGAGAAAAAAAAGATGATAAGATAAATTTGTAAACCGTTTCGTAGCAGCTAATAAATCAACAGAGTAGAGATAGTAACTTTACAATGTTTTTCTCATTTAGTGTCTGAACTCTAAACAAAACAAAACGTATTAAAATACTAGTCTAGTGCGCAGCAAAGGGAGAAGAATAGTAGGCTTCGAATTTCAAAATAATAATAAGTCTGTAGATGCTCGTTAGCTTTACTTGTGCCAAGAAAACAGACTGACATGGTTACTTGCTGCGGTGCACAATTATTCCAAACTGTTCGAGAAATTCTCTCTAGTCGGCAACCGGTGTCCGGGTTCCAGAAGTTTGATTATGGTTGATCATGAACTCCTTTTTTATCGAAGCATGTTAACGCTAATCGGCACAGTTTAACAGAAACGAATGCCATTGGTCGTTTGGAACACACCGACGGCACAGTCTGTCGCGATTAACCAATCACGTAACGCCATTTTTGTTGCGCGTCAAACATGGCGCAGTGATAACGAATTAGCGCATACGAATGCAGTTGGCGCGACTCTACTAAAATTCATGAAAAAATGGTCTAATGCATAATACCTAAGTATTCGTTATTGAAAAATTTACATTAAAACTCAATGAATTGACAGAGGATTTGAAAAGTGGGTTCAGAAAGCGGGAATGGTATTTTACACAAAATATACCTTCTCGCAGCTAAAGTTTCGCAACAGAGCACCTTCAACTGTTTATTTAGCATTTTCATTCCGTAACTCCTCATAAAGAACGTGATTCTGTACATTTGTGATACAATTCTTCTGGATTGAAAGAAAGTCAGTCTATGAAAAGGTTGTAAATGTTACCTCTTATGGTTTGCAAAACCATTTGATTTTAATAACAGTTAACAAGCGTTATTCAAGAGACTTTTGCATGTTCAAATACCAAAAGGAAATCATAGTTTGTTCTGCGTTTGTACCAGACGATAACCAATGAGCAAATATATGCAGGTACATACAGCTGGATTAAATCGATAAAATGATTTACAATTATTAATGTCACTTCTTTGTTTACGATATAACTATACATCTTACTTCTACTTCGTATGAACGTTTGCAAGTAACGCTATATGCAAAATATTACATGGATTTCATTGTTTCCCTATAATAAAATTACCTGTTACATATCCATTCAACACAAGTCCATTTAATATTTAAATCCCAATGATTTGAACAGTGCTTTATTTACAAGACCACTTACAACATTAACGTGCTGATAATAATTTAAACCAAAATTTGGTAATAATGATCTCGATGCACTTGCTACGCATTTATTAAAGTTCCTGTAGAAAGAAAATATAACAAAATTTTTTCAGGCTTTTCCTACGATTTACGGGGATTGCAATATCTGACTGCACAGATTGCACAAACTATTCCCTAATGATTTGCTGCCCTCGATGGCAATATCGAAATGATATTAAATTACGATTCGATAACGACATACACAAATATGAGAAATAATTAATTCTAGCAATGTAGATATTTAAATTTAATTACTCTTATTTACATGTGCGTCTAAAAGACGGTTTTGAAAAAGTATATAGTTATTTTCTTCTTACACCCATCGTTATGGTTATAGTTCTATTAAAAAAAAATAATTAAGTGGATAAATACAGGCAATTCCAATTCCAAAATTGGTTGAAATAAATGAAATCACTTGCTTCTACCCACTTATCAAAACTGGGTACATATGCATTTATCTATTTCATTCAATTTTGTATTTATTACGAAGTAAGTAGTACGTGATTCGTTTAAGATTCTTCTATTCCTTAGTTCTTTGTAACAACGGATAATGTAATCAATATTTTAAATTGATATGCTAAACAGATTACAGACAATCCAAATGTCAAAGTTGATTCTGCATTAACATTGACTCAAAATTTATATCGGTCCTCCTATGAAATATACATACGTGAAATTAAACTTTAATCTTTGTTTCTCACGTTTAGTCTTAAAGCAAGTCTGGTGAGAAACTGATTCCAATTTTTTCGAAAATCTTGAAGCGAGTATTCGAAAATTATACATTTATCAGAATGCATAAAAATTGTCTAGTAAGATCCAATACATTAACAAAGTTTCTGAAACAAATTCAAACACAGTTTTCACCAGATGCAACGCTTAAACGTATTTACGAAAAGCAGACAGAGAAGAAATCAATATCTGCCACTAAATAAACCAACTATGCCTCCAACGTTGTTACATATTTCTTACTGCTATGAATTGCTGCAAATCGATTTTCGGAGCCTAAGTGAATTACGCGATAGATCAAAGTTTTCGTGGCCTTCCTCGTTTTCTGAGAGACTTAATGTTGCTTGTAGACTGCCTGGTATGTCGCAATTTTTTTTGCAAGGTATTTGAGATGGATTTGGGGATTTCTTTAACACTGCTGTGCATTCTCAAATGCCGAATGTAAAGCAATCTTGATTTGATAATTTTCTTACATGTTTGGCACTTACGTGGCTTCTGCTCTGTAAAGAAAACCAAAAAGTGCAGTTAATAGTAATCGTTAATTGAAGCTTCATAACGTTACCGTACGAAAAATAGGAAACAGTAGCATTATTAAATTCTGAGTACGTACCAGATTTTTTTGTGGCATGCTGCAGACAATGTGCTGATAACAAAGCTGCACTAGGGAACCATCTGCCACAGTCGGTACAATTTAATTTTTTTATTTTCCATCTACGATTCAAACTCTGACTATGTTGCTTTTTAGTCCTCTTGATCGGAGTGCTTTTCTCCTCCACTTTTTCTTCCTCCGTAGGAGGCGGTGTAGCTGGCTTTACCTCAACTGCTGATTTCATAGTTCGACTTCTCTTCTTTAGTGAGTGTTCCGCTCTTACGTGTCTTGCCAAAGCAACTACCACATCAAATTTCTGTTGGCATATTTTACAGGGGTACTGCTTTTTAACAGTGGTCTCGCCGTTCTCATTCGCTTGAATTCTCATAGATCTCTCTTTCGTCTTACGAATGTTAGAAGGAGACATCGAACATACGCGAGAATGCGTATCCAAAGCCCTTTTTTGTCTAAAGTTTCTCGAACAATATTCACACTGCAACAAGGGTGGTGGCAATTTTAATACAGGCTCCTGAGATTCATCATCCGAGTCTCCTACCATAATAACTTCATTTTCTTTGTCACTAGAATCCTTTTCTTTGTTATCGTCTAAAGTGATTTCTACAATATCTCTTTCTCCCTCTTCCTCGTCAATGTCTAAGTCAATTATTTCAACGGAACGATGCTTCCTAGCTTTCTTAAGTTTCTTCGATCGGGAAGATCTTGGGTTATAGTCTGGATCGGGTAGGTTCTTCTTTCTTCGCTTTCCTCGTTTCCTAGAAGTACTTTCTTCTTCACAGAGAAGAGATGCCGGCTGTATTATAATTTCCGAATCACCGCGATTGACGGAAGTAAGTTGTTGTTTACGAGATCTTTTAACTCGTAATCCAATTTGAATCGACCCTGAAAGAGTACCCTGAGGGCTATTAGTGGATAAATTTTGTTTAACCGACATGTGATCCGAAGTGTACATATTTAACAGCCCAGACTTTCCTTCGACATAATGTTGTTTTTTTCCTATTAATGAACTCGAGTGCACTTTTTTTGTATGAAAGGAATTCTGATGTCCCTTATAATTAAAGTCTAATGTACCCGAACAAATTTCTTGTGATGTAAAGTGTGAATTGGTATCTACAAAATGATTATCGGAGGTACTTGTAACAACACCGTTTGCAATCTTATGATCTGTAATCATTTTCTTATTATGTGAATTTTTCGACTTTGATTGGTTTCCCTTCAGATTTTGTAGCGTAGCTTCAATTTCATCAAACGTTAATTCTGAATCGGATTGATTGTCACCAAAAAGAATATACTGCACCGTTGATTGTTCAACAATTTCATTTTCACTCTCAGACCCTTCTCGATTGCTATTGGTTTTATCTAGGGAATATATGTATTCAAATTAAATAAACTACTCACAAGTAAAATGGCAAAGATATAAACTTAGACACTTACCGTTGCCCATTATCATGTACGTGACATTTGACTGTTTACTTCCAGGTGAATAAAATAAACTAGATGTAACGTGTTTATCGGAAGCTAGCATAGAATCTTGACTAGCATTGATACTTTTGGATTCATGTTTAAGTCTGAAATCACTTGACTTATAAGGCTTTGATTTTTCATTCTCTGGAATGCCCTGTTGATGCAGGTTTCGAGATACAAACACAGGTGGAGGTGCAGTCAGCAATTGCTTTTTCATTTGACTGGGTTTCTTCACTGTTCTCACGGCACCTTCTCCTATGAGGCGTTCGACGTCAGCTCTGTAAATAAAAGTAACTCATTAAAAATATGTCCATAGCACCCTGCTTTTAAGGCGGTGATGCACAAAAAAATATACTTCATAAGAAACTGGAAATTTGTTGGTGGTTCTCCTGACTCATCGTACACTGCTACAGCAAAAATTTCATCCGAATCTTCCACAGCATACAGAGCCAATTGCTGACCTGCAGCTGTTACAAAGGTTGCTATAGTTTCCTCGTCTTCCTCGTCTTCATCTTCCCCATCTTGATTCTCTCTCTCTTCAGTGTCTTCATGGTTTATTAACGTCCCACTTGTCTCACAATCCGGTGTCTATTTGATTACAAGAATAGATTGTAATACTCGAAACAAAATGTATACTCAAAATTTTGGCCCTGTACAAACGTGCCTTATGTCAATATAAAAATGCACAACAAGATACTATGTATGCTTATTGCTACTGTTTAAAAATCTTATTTTTGCAATTTAATATTTACATTGACATCTGAAAGAGTTACATCTACTGAATTAATTTTTTTTCAAACATTAATATTCATAAATTATTTCAGTAAAATTTACATCGTACCTCATTACACTTGTATATCAATAAACAAGCAACAGAGGATACTTACAGCAGGTGAAAATTCATCGCTTTCACCTCCATACCATTCTTCTTTCACTTTGGTTTCAAAAAAAGAAATTGAAGAAGAGTGTTCATTATAATCTACAGTGACTTCTTCGCATGCATCCAATGCTTCTTCAAAGTATACCGGAGCTTCTTCTATGTTATCGGAACTCGTATTTTCAGCAACTCCTTCCATGTGATGATCAGTGACAATGTCCTCATTGTCGACGTGCTTAAAATCAAAACCAGCTGTTAACGCACTCATTACGTGAAACATTAATCATGACTTCGCGGACAAAATTAACATACTGTAATAATAAAATTTTAGACTCACCTGGCCTTCAATTTCACTATCAGATTTCCCATCGCAAACAAATCTAATAGAATTCCCATATTCTGAACAGTCTCTATTTAAGTCGATCTCTCCTTCTATCATTTTATGACAGACATCACCTTCCCCAATTAGCGACATCATTTGTGACATAATGATCGCATTAATGACTATACCATTTTTTGTTCAAGAAACTCAACTTGCACCAGTTCGAACAAAGTCTATCTGCTAGAAAGTTTCTCATGTAATATCACCCTCGAGAATAATTTTCATCTCCGAACGTAGCCATAACGAAAATTAAATACTCACAAGGAAATTAACGGCTAGCGCGATTTCCCAATATCATGGTAAACAACCTGATTGCATTAACGAAAAGCTGCAGAACGAATAGTAGGGTTATGAGAGCCCCGAAGTTGCTACGAATAACCTAACTAACACAGTGAAAGACTCGTAGCCGTACTTTACAGCGCGTACGTCACCTCGTTAAAATCATGTTTGATTATGGATAAATTTACTATGCTTATGCAGTATTGGATGTTTTTCGCACACCTAGTGCACAAATAAGGCAAGGATATCCCGACACAAGTTCCATAACATTACAAGTAAAGATTTGTGACACCCGAGCTTGTGTACTGCAAGTTCGTGTTCAAGGAATACGAAGTCGCTGATTGGCTGATTCTCCTGAACAGGGTGAACCGCTACGATCATAGGTTATATAGGAACATAGATGGAAGTAGCGCTATCGACACTGCGAGTCGAATTCTAGAGTTATTTGGATCTAGAATGGAACTAGGAGCATGTCCATTTAAACATGAAACAATTTCGACAGAGAGCCGCTAAACGACATGACTCTATAGTTTTAAAAATTGAAACATGGACACTCTGCAACTCTTTGCTCAAATTCAAACTCACCGGAAACGAACAGCAACGTGATTCGATATTGACATTGGAGCAGTGAGCGAGAGAAAACATGAGAGGCCCGACAATACTCTGGTGCCAAGTGATCGGTTTCAAATCACGATTTATTCCAAAATAATTGCAGTGACGAGGTCCAATGGATACCAAGTGGGGTTTGCAGAGACTCGTCCATTGATTCTCTGGCGGATTTGAAGGAAAAGCGGTCTGCTCCGTTTCACTATCGCACTCGCTACTCGCACGCACGGTCTGATATTTTTAGTTTCTTTTAATTCGGGATTCAACAAACGGATTCTGAGTCAAGAAGTCGGCTCCTATAATCTGTTTTCGGTTATCCGAGGACCCTCGGATTTTCATGAAGCGTTTGCTAAAATACGTGGCGTTATTCATACAGGGTCACACCCACCGCATCCATGCGCGTGTGATTTGTAAACAAAGTTGACACGAGTCTCTCCTGTGAACTTCTTGCATCGTTCACAAGAAAATTATGCTAAGCCATTATTTCTTTAACGATGCCTGCTGCTGTCACTTTGTCATCGACCGAACATTTGGTGTGGAGGAATATTTGATGACAGGCACCAATGCCTTTGACGAAAAAGTAGAGTAGTGGACGACTTTGAAGTGACTTACAGGTGCGAACACCGAAGGGATTTTTTCTCAAAGGGTTCTGGCCCTCATGAGATGGATCACATCAACGAATTCGACATCAGGCTCGAAAAAGAGGCCTACTATGCTGGCGAAGTTGTCCACGGCCATGTCATTCTTTATACGACTGAAAATTTCAAATTGCGGTGTAAGTGCAGTTATAATCACGAGAAATTAAAATGGTATTGACAAGATTGATTGAAGCATATAAATCGTACGTTTTTCCTTTTAGCTGTACGAATGTCAATGCGTGGACAAGCACACGTAGAATGGAAAGTTCTAGTTAGCGGGGACAGAAGAAACGTAAAGGACGATCAATACTTCGTGGACGAAAGACAAGTTATATGGGGCAATGGTATGTGTTTTAAAAATTAAGCGTTTGTAATACAAATACAACCAGTTACAGTTGGTATTAAACCTATGTTTAACCAGATGGAAAAATGTTTACCATCAAATTTTTATCTGTTATACTTGTAGATAGCTCTGAAGGACCAATACCGATTCTACCACGTGGCAAGCATCAGTTTCCCTTTAGATTTAATTTGCCTGAAAGTGCTCTACCGTGTAGTTTTGAATCTCGTACTGGATATGTAAGATACTATGTTAAAGCAACAGTGGATCGACCGTATGCAAGTCCCCCACAGGGCTTGAAATACTTCACTCTCATTGGACCACATATAGATTGCATGGACGAGCAATATTTGGTATTTATACCATTTTTAATACACGAAAATTTATGGTAAAAATTATTGCAAATATGTTTTATTTCAGAAACCTATGATTGGAACCGAAGTGCACACGGCATGTTGCCTTTGCTGTAGAAGAAATCCAGTTGAACTAAGCGTTCAATTAGAAAGAAGTGCTTACGTTTGTGGTGAGAGTATAAAACTAAAAGCAGCTATTGATAATAGAGGATTAGAGAAGGTCTGCTTGCAAGTTAAATTGACACAGGTATTTTTAATTGCATAAAAGAGGATATGCATTGAAAAACTGTTTAGCATTTATGCAGTTATTATATAAAGCTCGTACCATTTCAGTATGTAGAATTCTTTATCGATCGTGGCGTGTTGGGCACCAGCAGAGAACAACAAAAAATGGTCTTAGAGCATAAAGGAGAACCAATTACGCCTGGATCGGCTATTAAATGGGACTCCTCAAAGACTTTGATTCTCCCGGTGTGTCCTCCAACATTAATTGGCGTTTGTCGACTAATACAGATATATTATGTCTTAAAGGTAATCTCTTTTCTACCACTGGTAATTATGCAGCATGCTGCTCATAAAATACTTGGGTCAAATATATTGAAATTTATTACCTCATTATTATTTATATATATTTATCGGAAATTCACTTTTTAGGTCAGTGTGGAGCTTGAGAAATCTGGAGAGGATATGCAAATGCATTTTCCAATCACAGTAGCAACGGTGCCTTTCAGGATACCAAATATCGTCAAACAACCTCAAATTAAATATGGTCCGTTACCTCATTGGCTTTTCTCGACAATGATATTATTAATAAATTTGTTTCTAAAATTTATTTGAAAGAAGTTAGCTAATTATTTATTTTTAGATGTGGCAGCGGAGCACGTAGAGGGTGGTTGTTACGTCGGGCCAGAATTTTTGCTTGGACAGGTCTACGATGGCTCGGATCACTTAACACAGGCCCCATTAATTCTGTACAGACCGGTTTATACTTGCGTTGCAAATGACAGACGAATTCAGGATCATTAAGTCATCAGGGTCCACAAGAAAGCCTTAAAAGAATGTTGTCTATATCGGAAGACTCTCTTACTGAATGCCTTAAGTTCGAGGCGAACTCGGGCAGCAAATAAGCTGTAAGGTTGGTACGAATAGAGTGCACAAAACGAACATCATGCTCGGCCTTAACGGAGTTTTTTAGGAGGCCCTTTATACACGTCATCGTCCTGGTATACAAGACGGTCAATCTAGTCAATTTATACGCGAAACTTATGAAGTTGTGAACTTCATAGCTGATTTCAGGATGGAATGGAAATCAGATCAAAGTTACGGTTCGTTAACGCTTTAAGTCCGTATCAAATGAATTTTAAATCGTGATAATCAAGGATGACTTAGTATAATTTTAAAAATGTTTTTAACCCGTAAACTGGGAAAATAGTACACGTGCTCTTAGACTAAAGCCATCATGATTTTCTTTTTTTTTTTTCTCGTGATCTCAAGTGTCATCGATCATTTCACGATATTTTTAATAAGGGTATGCAGACAAATCATGAATATCGACGTGATAATGGTTGGCGAGTGTAGCGTACTTAACATGGTAACGTTAGATTTTGATGTCAGCTCTTTTGCTTCTTGCAACCGAGCAAAGACAAGGAATTAAAGAAGAGGTCGCCCAAGCAGTCTACAGGGCTTGGATGTGCTAAGAGATGATCATCTCGCAATCATCATCAAATGCCTCAAGAGCATAACTTCACTTTCTAGCCGATCTGATTTTAACCCTAGATCTGATGATGAACCACTAGTGGACTACAAAATTATTCTTTCTACATATTGTTTAACCGATATCAATCGCAACCTCAATTTTTGTCAAGAGTTTTAATGACAAATTATTGATATATCGTTCATTGATTAATTAAGTTTAAAAGTCCTCGAGCTCAATTTTCTTTACTTTGGATTTCCTTCACTTTTATTAATGAATCTTTTAACTTTGTTTCATATTGTATATCTCAATTTACAAAGGCACAACAGTATTACACATTTTTATTGTATTACTTCAACATTCTGTATGCATCGAGAAGTATTCTATAATTTATTTCCGTTTATGATACTCAAATATTTCTGTATCTTACAGTTACAGTATTATATCAATGAATAATAGGTGCATATAACAGAATCGCTTTACTTATACGTGTGTGCACGTGTATGTAACTTAAGTGTTATAGTATAGAGTTAACGATAGAAAACTTATTATTTTCTTAACGGCCTTCATGACTACTATAGATGCAGCTCTTCGGCTTCTTAACGACGGTGAATATATTTTTAAATCACTTGATTCTCTAAATTACAAAAGGCACGTTCTGATTGTTTTAATGGATTGTCACTCCTCAAGAAAAAAAATTATCCCGCGTAATAACCTTCCGAAACCATTGTGAAAAGAAACAAATGTTTTTAGTGTACGTTATAGCAATCCAAGTAAATGTATAATGTGTCTGTTAAAGCGTACGCGTGCGTGCGTTTAGACGTATAAAAAGAAAAAGGAAAAAAAAAAAACAGATATTAAGTACAATATATGCAATTACGTTCCCAAAGAGAAAAACCAAAGTCGGTGTACAGTTAAGGGTATTAAAACTTTATCGGTGAATTCTAAAGAAATAGATGTAAGAAAGTATAAACAGTTGTTCCCAAAGCTGTAAGAATTCCCATAAATCTACACAACATACGTGGATTATTGCTAGTTTTGATGAGGACTTGTCCTTTCGTCTTTCAAATGCCCCCAGGTTAGTTAAACAATTGGCATTAACATTTGCTAGTCAGTTACAATTGCTCGGTAGCAGTGCTCTTCCTTTGAATCAGCCTAGGAGCTTTTGAAACTCGAAAATACATTATTCAGTCTGTACCACTGTTACATTGTGATGTACGTTGCCAAACGTTTAAAGAATTATATTATACATATTTATATTGTACCTATGATACCGTACCTCTAGTAATCATACCTATTACCACGTTGTGAAGAATATATATTTCAGACGCATATTTGTTATACGATGGAACTTACCGATTCAATATAAAAGAAGAAAAGTATATATACATATATTATTCTTAAGAAAAATTATGAAGCGGAGGGAAAGAATGAAAGAGAAAGTGTGAAAAATACTGCAATAATTATTACTATTGTTGCTAGTGTTATGCTTTTTAAATGTTACCTTTGTAAAATTTCAAGCTGTCGGTAACAATAAATGTTTATGTACACGACTGTCAATTTCTTTAACCTTAAAGGAAGATCCGGTTTAATTAATAGATTAAATATTTATCCAAGTAGAAAACATAACATGTAATCCTTTTTCAATACATATTTATATACACATACACGCTGGTGAAATAAAACGTTATCTCACACTTTATGTTCATCACATTCAAAGTAGTTTATAATATAGATCGATCATTCAAAGTATCAAAAGTTTGCTTCTTATAAGTTGGAATCTTCACAGAAGAATTTTACGTAATGCCTATCTTAAAGTTAACCTTTTACTTACATTTTTATCAATTTTATACTGTACATGGATCAGGAAAATGGAAGGTTGAAATAACGTTTATCGTAGTTACACAGCGTGCTGACTTAAATCTATGAAGCAAAAGAAATCCAAATCACTACAGAAGTTTAGGTTTCGACAATGCACTCAATGTGATCACATTTGACGTATGTGTTTTTCTCCTATGAATATAATAAATACTCTTTTTAAGAGTTGTATCATTTACTTTGTACGAAACTTTTGTTATCCTCTACTTGTTCTCTAAGATCCCTGAAGTTGTTCATCGTACCGATGCCATGATAAACGAATAATGCACCATACTTTTTTAACAATTTAGATTAGATACCTAGTTTAGATACTATTAGTTTAGATACCTTGGTATCCTTTATGCGCAACTCTGAATGAAATCATCCAAGAGGGATAGATTTTAAGGAGTAGCAAAAATAAAATGTGGCAATAGTCTTTTCTTACCCAAGCCTGCATCGCCGATTCTCATTTTTAACACTGCTATAACAATGCTGGCTCGGCCATTAACCTCTCGAGGATAAACACTTTTTCCTCACATCACCTCCATACTGTTTTGCGTGCTCTCTAGAAAACCTAACGTTGACGTAGGGGTATCTTGAGTCGTCTCCTCCATAGTTTGAGCCTCGATAGTTTCTTGTTGATTGCTTGCATTCGAACTTGTACCATCATCCCAGTTGATTTTAAATCTCGTCACTCTCGGTTTGTCACCCAAAATATTCCGTTGAACTTTATCGAACTGTGGTTGCGGAGGCGGGTTTTCTCTAAGTTCGGCATCCATGTATTCATTATTAATAAAGTATCCTACACGAACGAACTCGTGACCTCTATAGGAACAAGTCAGCAAAACTACCGTAACACCTAAAGCGTCGTTCACTGGTATGCGACTCACATCTGGGGGATCGGCCTGAAACATCGCATATTTTTATTATTTTTGCACGTTAAATTATAAAGTGAGTAACCTCTACAATTTTACATACTTGAAAAACAAACATATGCCTTCCTTCGGGTATTGGACCGACGTATATCGTATCGAGCACCTGATCGAATTCCTCCGATTCTGCACTGCCTACATATATCATCTTCCATTCCAAATCTGAAATAAAAAACCATTTAGTTAAACTACACTAGGCCAGTAAAAATTAAACCCGCGACAAAGTCAAGCGAACAACTCGAGCGAAAGACTCGAACGCGACGATTACCTTCTCTCAGCTCCTCGATACACTCAAAAGTGACTTCGAATTGAAATGGATTAAGAAACGGCGAGGGGTTATCCAGGACGGCGACATTCGTCAACTGTATTTTAGCCATCGCACGATTCGAAGAAACCGTAACACGCCGAGACGCGACTGACTGAAATTCAAAAATCTCCTTCTCCACAACCCGGTAAACGTTGACCGTTATTTCGCGAACGGAGGATCAAGAGATCGCGAGAAACGCGTCGATCCGGGGGTATGTGCAGAAAATCCGCGGGATAAACAATTCTCACTCGCGACCGGGAGGTTGATTTGGCGGCAAACGAACTGAAACTGGCGCTTCCGATCTCGGTGAAAATCCTCGCGCGTTGAACCAGGTTTTTCGGGAGCATCCTCAACGGAGTGGAGGTAAAATTTAATAGAAATAACCTCCAGAAGTTCCGCTTTGCAGCGTCACTACGCGGAATCTTACGTAACTACAGTCTAAAGTGTCCAATTCGATCCTTAGACGGACTATCTATGGTAGACATCCGACCATCCGGTTTTCCAAGATGGCGGCAACACGCATGCCGACTTCCTATTGGCTGCTCCTTGTCCCTCTCGCGGTCCCTTCTCCTATCGCACGCGCTCCTCTCTTCAGCCCCCACCTCGCCTGCTGTTCCATTACTGGCTTGTTCGCACTCCCACATATAAACGACACGTAACATCCGCCCTGCGCGGTCGCGCTGCGCATGCGGCCAGATCTCGTCGAGTATAAAAATTTCCCAGTAGAGAAAAGATTTGTAGTGGATAAGTCGAGAGACGTAAGTAAAGAGAAGCGGTCGCGAGAAAATGCGAGGCCCGTCGAAGTATGCGGACCGTGCCGCGATTACGTACCCAGGTATCGAGGACGTACGACCCACGGGAGACACGGAACTCGCCTAAGCTAAAGCATATAGGTGTCGCGATCCGACCGCCGAGATTGAGGTTAAAAAAAATCCCCTCGAAGAGGTGCCATGCTAGAATGCCACCGAAGGCACCTCCTAGTGGCGAGATTGCGACAGGCCCCGTGATTCGACTGAAGTTCGCTGCCCTCTTTCTCTTTTCCTTTCTCTCTCTCTCTCTCTCTTGGTCTCGCTTGGAGAGGGCGAGAGAGACGAGGAAGGAATCCGCTCGAGGTGCGCGCGAGTCAGCGTTCGTCGACCAGCTTCAGGTCGATGGGGCTTTAAAAGAGACCAGGAAGATGGCGTCGTAGAACGGCAGGGCGGACGTCGAGGTAGAGGTTAAGGAAAAAATGCCACCTCGAGGAGGTATCGTCCTTGCACCGTCGACGAGGAGGCTCTCTGATGAACGGGTCGTAACAGGTCTCGTAATTCAACTGATGTCCACCACTCTTCCTCCTCGTTTTCTCTGTCTCTCTACCCGCATCCGTCCGTCCGTCCGTGTTCGGTGTGCAGTTCACGTCGGTGGGGTTTTTAAAGAGGCGACAAAATGGCGGTCGCGTGACGGTGGCGCCAAGGCGGCGAGGCGCGGAGGCTGCGTGGCTGGAGGGGGAACGCGGTCCGTCGGGTGGGAACGGGAGGAGGTGGAGTTCGTTCTCTTCTGCGTCGGGGTGAGAGGGAGAAGGACGAACCGCGGCGCGGCACGGCACGGGAGAGAGAGCGAGAGACGGATCGTGGCGCCGCGAGGGAGAAGGCGTAAGAGACGACCCGACCGAGCGAGAGACGGACGGAAGAGAGAAAGAGAGAGAGAACACGGACCGTGGCGGTGATTCTTTTTCGAAAATTCTCCCGAGCTTGTCTCGCTTTCTTTCGGATCGCGCCAATGTTTTCGGACTCGCCGTAAGGTAGGCCCAGCCACGATTATTGCCACGTACCCTGGTGCGCGTTGGTGCGAGTGATCCTCGACGGAATTTCAGGAGTACGTCCCAACGGTGCATTGAGCCTCTCACTCGTCCCTCTGACGTTTCTTGGCCTCCTAAATGCCACCAACAGCTGTTTCCTACCATCGCCCGATTTCGAGGAGGTACCCTGGCGAGCGCGACTCGCGAGTGCCAACTCGCTCTTAACCCTTCCTTACTTGGGCCACCAGGACACCTGTGTCGCGGACTCGGCCGACTTGTCGGATCCTCGGAGAGCAGTGTCCTTTGTTCAACTAGGCGGTGACAGCTCCGAGTGGAGGATATCGCGAAGCGATCCGTTCGCGATACTTTATCGCCTTCCTCGTCCGTCGCGACCGTTTTCTCCATTAGTCCCTCTTCGTTGACTCTACGATACCTTTTTATGTGTTCCACTTATCTAAATCGTCGAAAATACGATGGCTCTGCTGGCATTCTTTGTATCGTGAGTAGCAGGGTCATCTGCAGCCGTGTTTTATTTGTTGGTGGCATCCGGAGTGATCGTTTCTTGGTGCCTTTATAGCGTCGGAATTAATTAGGAATATCGAGCACGAGTCGATGGCTCTTTTAATGGGAACCGAGGTTAACGGGTGTTTTGGCACCTTTTAAATAGTGTGGATCGATTATTCTATGCAGAAGAAAATACCTGTTGACCCTGGAGGTCTGTCGAGTTAATTTCGATACACCGAATTATATTTGTCAGTTGAAGCTATTGATTGGTGAAATAGTATGATTCGTCGAGTTGTGCTTGTTTATTTGATGGCATCAAAATTTCTGAGTGCCTGATTTATTAGTTTATTAGGTCAGAAGATGTGAAAAAAAATGTGACATTTGTTTACAGGTTGTGTGGGAAAACAATACGTGTATCGAAGTTGCAGGCTGGATTAGCTACGTGGTACAAATAAATTTATAGACGTCCTACGTGTAAGTACTTTATAAAAAAAATCAAATTGTGTATATAAAAATTAGTGTTTAGTACATATAAATACATTTGTGCACAGAAATCGTTGGCCGTCAATCGGATCCTGCTTCTACTTCCACAACTTATCGAAGAAGCGAGCGAACGGGAACAAGTATGTCCGTGCTGAATCAGAGTGGGGAAGATGCGGTGGAGTGTCCGCTGTGCATGGAACCTTTGGAAGTCGACGATTTGAACTTCTTTCCGTGTACCTGTGGATATCAGATATGCCGCTTCTGTTGGCACAGGATTCGAACCGACGAGAACGGCTTGTGTCCTGCATGCCGGAAGGCCTACTCCGAGAACCCCGCCGATTTCAAGCCCCTCACAAAGGAAGAGATTTCGAGGTAACGGAGCTCTTCGATGACTCTCCTCGTCATTAAATATAATTCGACGTTTCTTAATCGTTCTTTCTTTTCTTGTGAACTTTAAGGTTGAAAAATGAAAAGAAGTTAAAGGACCAGCAACGGAAGCAGCGGGTCACGGAAAACCGTAAACATTTAGCGAATGTGCGTGTAGTACAAAAAAATCTTGTTTTTGTAGTAGGACTACCCATGCGACTGGCGGACGCTGACGTAAGTGTATTTTTCAAGGTGTTCCTTGCATTGAGCCATTGCCAGTCTTTATCTCTTTACGTAAAAATCCTTAAACCAATAATCTTCCTTATGTATCGTGTCAGGTTCTCAAAAGGCATGAGTATTTCGGAAAATTCGGGAAGATCCACAAAGTTGTGATCAACCAGAGTACTTCCTATGCCGGATCTCAGGGTCCCAGCGCCTCAGCCTACGTTACTTACCAGGTTTGTTCTACCGTTATCTGCTATCGGGATCGGCGCGTTGCCTGGCCCGAATTATTTCTCAGGGTTTGGCTTTTTACGTATCCTCGTCCTGCATCGAACGTACCACTAGCGATACTTTAATATCTCGATTTTATTCGTCACGCCCACGTTCCTACATTTACTTACAGCGACAGGAGGACGCGTTACGCGCAATAGAGGCGGTGAATAATATCGTCGTGGACGGCAGGACGATAAAGACCTCGCTGGGCACGACGAAATATTGTTCGCACTTTATGCGTAATCAGGCGTGCCCTAAGCCAGACTGCATGTACCTGCACGACCACGGGGACAAGGAGGCCTCGTTTACTAAGGAGGAAATGCACCAGGGCAAACATCAGGAGTACGAGCGGAAACTCGTGCAATCGTTACATGCCCATGCGTCTTCCTTACAACGGTAACTACCACCTTAAGCAAGAACCTACTTAAAACGATTGCATTTAATAAATAGGGTACGAATTGTCGCAGAGAATGGATCGTAACCCATGAGACGCGGAAGTTAAATCTCGGTACAGCCAGTATGGACCAATTAATCCGAAATGGCACTATGAAAAATATACATTGCCTTTTTTTTCTCGCGCAGAAAGCCAACCCCTTCGCCACCCGTGACCGGTGGTGGAGTTCGGGAGAACGGGACGGCGAATACACAACCCAAAGAAGCCTGGCCCTCGTTACAGCCTGGTCAAACGAACAGTCAGTATCGCTCTCGTTCCACATCGTACGACACTTAATCTCTATCATGCACAGGTGGTATTTAATACTAATCGCACGGCCCGAACTCGTGCGACCTATGCTCCTGTGCAAGGTAGCTCGCTACTAAAGCGATTTAGACCAAGTAATCGGGGAAAACGAGTTCGTCGAGTATGTTAATAACGCCGTTCATTGTATATCTACCGTTGATTATTTTTTTTTCTGGGTGATTCGCAGGCACGGCGGCGAACTGCAAGGAGTCGTCGCCGCCGCCCGCGGCCCAGGTGGGCTCGGTGGGTCAGAACAACTCGGAGAACGGCGGCAACGCGGCCGTGCAGTCGAACCACGCGGCGGCGGGCCAGGGTCACCAACACAGCAACAACAACAAGGGCGAGAACGGGACGGGTCTCAGGAGAGGGAAAAGCAACAGCGAGAGCAAGGCGCAGGCGGCGCGGAACAAGCATAAAAACAGCCAGAACAAGGAGAAGCACGGTGGCACCAGGATGTCGTCGCGCTCCGAATCCAGTGCCATTCCGCTGGGCGGGAACAACCTCGCCGCGGTGCAGAACGGTGCTCAGGAGGACATCCGGAATTTCGGGCTGGCGGAGACGACCGTCTCCGGCGGCGAGGTCTCCCAGAAACCCGGCCTGAACTCTCGGTGTAAATCGGACTCGCAGCAGATACAGCAGCAAGCGCACCAACAGACTGCTGGCCAGGGCAAGGGGACCAGGACGACGGCCGGAGGGCACCACCAGGTGCAACACGAGCTCAAAGTCAACGGGGTTCTGCGCCACGAGAGGAGTCCCTCGGAGAGCGAGAGCGAGGCCCAGCGAGAGGGCAGCACTCCCGCCAGCACGATCTCGAGCTCCGAGGACTCGAACGCGAATCACAACGGGGAACGACTCGGCGAGTCGGTGGCCCTCGACGAGAACGGCAGCACCGCTGTACTAGGTGAGTTCCTCTTGCTCGTGTTTATGACCCTCTGCTTGTACTACTTGCTACTGAGGTGAGAAACGAGCCTGTCCCCCTAGACGTCGGGAACGGCCCTGTTCGCCGATCACGTTAGAGACCCGTCTTCACGGGATATACCGTACGTAGTGGAGGGTTAACTCGATATCCTCGCTGGTATCACCGTTTACGCGGTCGAACGGAATCCTCGCGAGGAGGTCTGCGCCCGGAGCATTTGGATGTAAGGGATAGAGGTTACAATTAAGAGAAAACTACCAGTGCCTCTGAAAATTGTATTTTTTGCGTCGCACGTACGTGTTAATATATACGAATATTTAATCGGTTAGGGCTCTCTCTCGTGGCGAGGTATCACGAGTGGGGCCTGCAAGGGTATACCACGTGCACGCGAGTGCGCTGCTCGGGCTGCACTGAGTATACGGAAGCGACATAATGCAAGGCAATTTTGATATATGTCGAAATAAAGAGAGTTCGTTGAGAAAACAAATACAGTCGTCCTCGTGTTTTATGTTTCTTGTGTATGCTTTCTCTTCATCCCGTTGCGTATCGTTGGAACGCTACCACGGCGGACTTGGGGCCGGTCGAGTCAGAGGGAACTCTTTGAGCAGTTAAACTCGTTAAACTCGGTATCGCCGTTGAAACTTTACGTACGAAGAAATGATCTCTAGCAGTGGTAGTAGATAATGGGAGTATCCGGCAAGTTTGAGCCTATGGAGATTTTGTAATTACAGAGAGTTTCTTCAGGTTCGGAAGCCCCGGTAAGATCCGGTAGGAGGACTGGCCGGGATCGGCAATTCGAGCTAAAGGTCGATGTTATACCGCTCTCGATGACGATGTCCGGACCAACCACGGGGTGCACGTAAAGGCCGAATTAAATGCACCTGGACGAGGGGTGATCCGTTTCGCGGACCGGAATTGCGGATCCCTGCAGACCTCCTAGTGGATCTAGGCCCAAGGGTTAACATCTCGGTAGAGACGGTGGAGAAGGCGTTTCCCGGTGTTTCGGGTCTCTCGTAGTCTAGAGGTCTCTGCGTGTCGTGCGTAGGTACGTCGCCGGCTAGCACGAATTCATCGCAGGGCGGCCGAAGCCAGCATCCACCTCCAGGGTTGTTGCATACCGCGAACGGCACCTCGACCGGATCCCAAATGCAACTGAACCATCGGTCCATCTTTCAGGCGGACAATAACAGTTTCTTCAGCTCGAACAGCTTCCAAAAGATCTCCGCCGTCGTCTCGATGCCTCCCAGCTCCCAAACAGGCATGTACCGAGGCACACTTAATCGCATTACCTAGTTGATCCCAATATACATAGAATTTACATGCATGCGGATAGAGGGTAGAAAGGAGGAGGAAGGGAAACGGCAGACTGCACCCTCGAACCTGGAACTCGACCTCTTTGTCTGGTAGAGTCGAACTTAATTCTGGTCCCAGAACGGGAGAGTCAGAGCTGACCCTGGTGATGGATGATTTCGAGGATGCGTTTCTTTGGATTTTCGCTGTCAGTGTAACGAGTCATTTTCTGTTATATATATTTTTTTTGTTGTCCTTGGGCGTACAGCTAACGTTAGCCTGGACTGGACGAGTACCAGCCTGGCTTCGATTCCCGATTCACCGCCTACGGTGCACTCCAGCGAGGACTGGCAAGCCGCCTTTGGATTCCAGCCCGAGTCTTCGAGGTCGAACCACGAGGTGCACAGGACGAGCCCGGCCAGCTCGCCGGGGATGCCCTTCAACGGCGAGGACTTCGTCAACGAGGAGGTCTACGCCAATTCCCGGTATACCACCCTTACCTCCGACAGCGCCGTCTCCTTCGTCTCGAGTTTACCGGCCAACTCGCCGGCCTCCAAGTTCATGGCGGACTTCCAGCAGAATTCCCTGCAGCAGAGGCTCGCCATGCAGGTGCGTAGAGGAGCGTCGGTCCCATCCCCTCGACCCTGAAGAGGCGGTATTTATCGAGGAAACGTTTTATTCTACAGGAATGCGTGTACAATGTATTAAAAGTGCAAAACCAAGAGAACTGCGAGTTCATCAAGCAGAACGGCCACGCGACGTTGGAGGAGATGCACAAGCACCACGAGGCCGAGTCCGAGGTCAAGGCCGACGACGACCTCGGCTTCGATCCCTTCCACGAAACGCAGAAGGCCCTCGCCGAGCTCATGGAGAACGAGATGCAACTCCAGCAGCAGAGAGTGTACCAGCAGCAACAGCAGCAACGGCAACAGCAGAGGGAACGGGAGGAGCGGAACAGAGTGCAACAGCCAGGACTCGGCGAGCTCGGCTCGCAGCACTTTCCCCAGGTATTGCAGGGTTCACCCCACAAAGAAAGAGCGATGTATGTCTCTGTCATCCGACCTGATCGGAAGGTGTTCTCTTGCCCGATTGGAAAGCGACTAAGGCGGAATGCTTTAGCTGCTTTTTTATTTTTTATTTTTTTTTATGGAGTTTCCTAGGTCTCCCGGTTTATGAATTATTTGACGCCCCAGAGGCCGCCTTCGCGGCGTCTTAGCTCGTCATCGAACTCCACGAGTTTCTTGATATCTCGTCCTGATCCGTGCCTTCGACGGGAATCTAAGATGCGACTGACCGGCTAACTTTCAGGTTGCTCATATAGCACAGCTGCAACAGCAGGCGCAACACTTGCAGAACTTGCAGGCTCTTCAGCAATCGCATTCCCTATTATCGCGTCTTCCGCAGAACTTGGTGGCGGCACCTAGTGGAACGCAGAGTCCGGCTCAGGGTTCCGTGACGGCAGCCAACCTCGGCCAACGCAGTCGTCTACCACCACCGGGATTCCCGGGCTCGGCGGCCAATCACATGAACTCTTTCGGACTCGGTATTCCGCGACCGGCACCCACGAATAGCGCTCTCTCGGGTTAGTATCCTCCACCCTGGTTACCCATCATCGTCATGGGAAGTCGCGGTTATACCTAACGATAATGGAGAACGTTTTATGCCTGCAGGTAGTAAAATATTGCCGTTCGTGAGTCACACGTCCGGAGTGCTGTTCACGGGGGCCCAGACGCCACAACAGACTCAGTATCTTCCAAACGGGAATCCGCTTCTCAATTCGCAAGGTAACGATGCCGATCATTTGAATGATTTGGCTTGGATTTACGACGGGGAATAGGATTTTAGACGATCCATCCGGTTTTTAACGCCACTTCCTACGCTCTTAAAGGTGTCGGCAAGTGCGCCGGCGATACCGTCTATAGCCTCAAGGATTGGTGCGAGCTTACCAACCAACATCAGCAACATCAACACCAGCAGCAGCAGTTCCATCACCAGTCGTTGCATCAGAAAGGCGGGTGGAACAACTTCGGGCCGATTGCCGATTGGACCTCGATCGATCCCGCGATAGTTAGTTCGTCGAGGCCACTTCAGTTCCAAGCCACCGGCACGTGGCAGCTCCCTCATGCCTATCCTGCGCACAGTGCGTCACACGGTTCACAGCAGGTAAACGATATTATCTCGGATAATTTACCTGTCGAGGTAGTTATTAACGAGGCCTATTTCAGGAACAAAACGTACCCGCTCAGCACTGGGCTATGCAGCCACCACCGGGCTTTTCTGCGCCAGCGTCTAGCGCGCAACTCGGTACTCAACCGCCGAATGTTACTGCACAGCCGCACACAAAACTCATCTCTGCGGGCTCGGAAATTGAGAGTGAGTACAATGGTTCCTCTACGCATGTTCAGAGTACGTTAATCGCTCAAGCTAAGATCAGCACGACTCTTTTCCTCGATCTTCACACGTTCTTGTACAGCTTCCCTTCCTTGCAGATGTATAAAGGACGGGAGGAGGGCCGACGAACATTAACTACGTACAAGCGCAAGCGGATAACCGCTAGAACGAGAAATAACCAGATAGAGAAGAGATCGACGAAGGACACTCGTATCGTTAGACGTCGACGTTACTTCCCTCAATCCCATGTTTGACTTAATCCGACTCGACGGCTCGTTCGTTTACGGAGGAATCGCGGAATACGGTGTTGACGTCTTGTAGCTTCTCTCCTGGCGCCACCAGACCTCCGATATGTTTGCCGGAGATTTTCGAGAGACACCGGTGGACCTTCGCGGCGACGTTGATCGCGATTACGCATCAAATATTAAACGTTACCTCTCATCACGGAGAAAAAGCCTAGCGTTCTGATTTTGCGATTCTTCGAGTCCCATGTTGAAACGTCATGTTAAGTGCAATACGTTCCGATTGCGCATACGCTCTAGTTTGGGTAAACCGCTCTCGGCGTCGATTAATCATCCGATATATTTGGAAATTTACTTTCTTGGGCATTCGTTGATGTATTTAAACTATTGTTAAACAGGGCCGAACGAGTCGTTGTATCTTACGTGCAATTGTTGCGATTCTTGAAATTATTGCAAGCGGTAATATTATCTCCTTAGCGCCGAGAGCGTAATCGCAATTTATGAAACGAACGTCTTCCTGTTGGGACTGCGATCGACGAGTGGACGAGGTGTATTAGCCTTCTTTTTTTTTTAAATTGAGAGTACGTCGATTTATCTTTACGAGAGACGAGATGAAGAAAGGCGTTCGGTTCTGCAGTCGGTATCTCTTTAATCAATGATATACCGGGATGGAAGATTCTGCCACGACCGCCCGAACTGCAGGTGGAGATCATCGAGAGGAAATGGAAGATTAAGCCGAAGTGTCCGCGCGAAGTGTACCTTGAAATTCTCATTCTTAATATTTAGTAAGAACAACTCTAAGTGACGCTGAGATTAAGTTTTCGTCTAAGGCAACCGTTGATAGCTGGAAGAAATGAAACTAGCCAAAAGTGGAAGAATTGGTGCGGACCGATCTGAAATAGCCAACTGCAGAAAATTGGTAGAAGAGGAAGGCAGCCGAAAGAGGATCCAAAGGATGACGGTCTGGTGAACGAAACTAACGAAGACATGCTGTACCAACGGGGACGAATAGTGAACTACTGAGATTGACCGAAGTCATGCTGTAAGCAACCAACTGAGATTTGTAAGGAAATTCTCTGAGAAACTGGTATTTGGAATGAAAAATGACGCGACGTAGGCTGGATAAGTGGCGGCCGATCAAGACCAGCTGGAAGCAAGGAAAAGTAGACAGGAACACGTGTTACTGGGAGAAGCCAAAATCGATATTGTTACACGGAACAGTATTGTGCAACCTACCGTTGCTGAAAGTATAAAGAAAATAAGAGGAGCTACGAGACGGACGATGCGTCTTCGAATCTGAATCTAGCGACGCGACGTTAAGTCGCGCCTTCCGCCCGGAACGAATTTCCGCCGGTGGAACGCAATCGAAGGAAGCAAGCGACAAATCATGGATCGTTATAAATAACCGTAGAGTAAGACCGCGACGGGGGCGACGTCGGCGGAGGTACGAGAAAGTAAACGGATTCGTTCTCGCGGCTCTCCGCGGCCAGCCTGGCGTTCCGCAATTTTCGCGATCGAGGCAAATGGAACCATAGAAGTCGAGCACGATTTCGCGCAAGAGTACGATTGAGATACGACGCGAGCACGATTATTATAAATTTAATTGATTTAAAAAGTAATCGAGAAATATACGTTAATGCGAGATACAACCTTATCGATCGATGCCAATACCCTGCATAAAATCTTAGGCTTAGTGGGCTCGTCATTGACTGCCAAATTATGAATGTGAAGATTCTTTCCAGATATACTGTCCTTGTCCACTTTAAATGAGAATTAGTGGCTATCCAAGGTTACAGTACGTACCGTAAGTACCCGTCAAGGCACTTTCATGATTTTTACTTTTTTAATATTAAAATACGACTTTATTATTAACCACATTTCTTATTTACAAAGTCAATTTCTTATTTGTACTAATACTGTTTTCGGTACACTCCAAGGGAGTTCGTAAGTCGTCCTTGACGATGACTAATTAAAAAACTGTTTGCTCATACGGTACAATTTTAGAAACAATAATCTTTTCAAAATTAAATAATGAAGTGTCATGAGAGTGAATGTACTTTACGTGGTAATTATCAATATTTAACAAAATTTTAACTGAGCGTTCTTAAAAATGTTTGGTCTATATCGTTACAAGGAGCGTGGAACAGGTGTGACACGTTAAATATAATGATCGACCGTTATCATCTTGGAGGAACTCAAAAGAAGGTATGGCAGAACAATTTATGGAGTGTGACATTGCGCATTCTGAGATAGCTTGTTCTAAATCTTTGAGAGTAACTGTCGCAGGAAAGGTCAGTTGACATAAGTTACAGACTATGTTCGTATGAATATTCGTTAGAACACCTTTCACGCACACCGGGCATCCAACTTTCCCCTCCAGATCTTCCGCAAATGAAGCCAACATTTTTTCCTCGCTATATATGAGACGTTCATATTCTTCTAGTATCCACAGTCCTGTTTTTTTTTTTCATGTACAAGTCAAACTCTTAAACGATCTAAATTTACATAATTAATTTTTATTGAGAATTACACTTACCCTCCTCAGCCATGATTTTATTTTCCAATTCTAGTTCCTCATCTGGGTTTAGCGGATAATCTGGTTCAGGAAAAAAATCTTCATTATCCACTAAATCGGATGTTGCCAAAACACTAAGTTCACTGCGAACTATCTCCAACAATGTCTCTTGTACATGCTCGGTAGAATTATCCAAATTCAACCTTCTCGAATTGAACAACTGGCTTCGCTTTTCTTTCATTCTCTGGCGGCATCTCTAATAAAATATTTATTCGGTATTAAAAAAAATCTATCCAGGTACTATTAGCTGAATCCTTGTTCTAAAAATAGGAAGCTCTAAGACGATCTACAGGAACGATATTGATACGACATTTTTATCTTCGTAAACCTGTAAAAAAAATTAAATAACAGAGGCTATTAGTTGATACAACCTCTCTGAGCACTTCTTGCAATTTAGGGGAGCCGTGTTTAATTTTCCTCGCTGCTTCTCGAGTTTTTACTTTGTTTGACGCTGATGGACTCAAAGTTATGTCAGCCATCACTAGTGCTGTTTAATAAATAAATATTTCTAATACAAAAGAGGTATACGTTGCAACTGGTGACGTCTCTCGCGCGCTTACATTTATAAGAGCTACATGAATTACCTGCGAAGATGAGTGTGAGAGCACGAATCAATATTAACGATCATGCTCCTCTAGTGCCCTCTGTTCAAAATTTGAACAGCTGATACATAATTCCTGTGGCGACATCTGACGAATGGCGGTAATAGTTTGCATTTTAAAATCGGTTAACGACAAAGATCGCAGTCGCACAAAAAGAAATTAAATACAAGTATTCAATAAATTCTACTACAATCAGATTGAATCATATATTCGTGCCAAATTTCACAGAAATTGGACAAAAGCAGTACAACTTATGCATGTTTAAAAACGATCGACAGTCGCTATTATACATCTGAGTTATAGTCACTAATTAGAGAACTAATGGAATTATGTTCACGAGGTACTTGATTTTTTACATCAAATTTCAACTCGACTGGTTTTGCGAAATCTTTGGAATTCCGTTAACGTGTACTCTCACTCGCTCATCCATGATTAAAGCAATGCATCACCTGGTTACGTACTCACATACACACGTTTTTAGCGAAGATAAATCTACAGCATACGCCCACGATACGTCTTACCGTGGCCGTGTCTAAAGAGTACTGTACTCAACACGTATAACGCTTTAATGTGCGTATCTATGACTACGTTCTTTGTATCACTTATAAAAGCGAAGTTTATGACATGACCGTTAATACATTGCGTAACGCCTAATTCATTTTTCGCGAGAGATGTTTCACTCCCATATTTTTTTTTTTTCTTGTTGCACATCGTTCGATGTTACAATTTCCTAGTTTTTAACATAACTGCCACGTAACGTGCATAACTGCTATTGGATCTGCTGCGAGAAATGCCCCGACACTTCTTCGATACTTCCAGATTAACGTAATAAGAAATGCTTACTTCAGCAATATGTGAGAAGCGCGAAGAAGATTTAACGGGCAAAGAACTATTTCTCTTTTGATTAGTGACTGTTTCCCACTTTTGACCTAGGTCTTTCCTTATGCGTATCGATTTTAATTCGAACGTTACTATTTTTTTAGTAAGTACTGTAAAATAATTAAAATGGTACCGATGCGTTGTGCGCGCTAAGTACACGCCGGTGGTAGCGTGCACGGATAAAACTTTAAGCCCAAACTCTTAACGTTGTGTCCCAACTTCCGGTGGAAAGTGCAGTACCATCTGGAGAGACTCTTAGACACGAAACGCGGTTCTCGTGGCCGTACAATAATGCCACGCGTTGGCACTTGAGCGTATCCCATGTATTAACCGTGTAATCGTTGTAACCAGCAAACAGCAATCGACCGCTCACGCTGAGGTCGACGGCATTTGCTCCGAAGATGATGCTCTCCTTTGCGTAGACAGCCACCTCCTTGTCGGCTCGAAGATCGAAGAGTCGGCAAGTCGCATCGTCTGATCCTGTGGCCACAGCATCGCCACTTGGATGAAAGCGAACCTGTGACACATAACCAAAAATATTGTAACAATCAAATATCGGGGAGATTTAATTATAAAATGCAGAACATTTTTTAATCTCACCGAATTGACATCGGATCGATGTCCCTCGAAGCTCTGTACACACTGACCGGTTCTCATGTCCCAGATAAGCACCATCTTGTCACAACCTCCGGATACAAAAGTGTTACCGGTCTCGCTAGGCGCTAAATCGATCGACATGACATCTGCCGAGTGGCCATGGAAATTTTGTAAGAGCTGTCCGCTGTCCACATCCCATAATGCGCAAGTACTGTCACCGCTACCCGTTAAGATCTGCTGATCGCTGTTAGGAAATGCGCAACAGGACATGTATGATGAATGCGTGCCCACAGTCTTCTTGCGAACTGTCACGTCGTCTTCTAAACTCAGGGGATAAACGGTCACTTTATTGTCCAAACCCCTGAAACCCCGAGAATAATGCTTTAAGTGGAGATTCTAAAACTAGCGATTATTTATTCAAAGTATGAATAAATATTCTACTTACCCACATGCGACGAGAGTACCACTAGGAGCATAGGTGCATGCCATCACCCAAGTACTTAACATCGCAACAGCATGCTCCTTGTTTGTTGTAAATGCATCCCATATAATCATCTTTCCATCCTAAAATATTTTCAATTACTTAAAATACTGTTTTCACATAAAAATAATAATTTCCACATAAAGCAAATATTGCATGGCTCACTTGTGACGATGAAACAATGTGACGTTTGTCCGGGGACCAATCGGAACAAAGAACCTTTGCTTGGTGGCCTTTTAAAATTCGTCGAGGTTTTATCATCATACAATTAATTGCTTCGAGTCTCTCGGATACACTCTCCACTATGGCGGAAATAAATAAACATGAATATTTTCGTCAAAGGACCGTGAGAAAATTTAAGAAAAAAATCAAGTATAGCTGAAACCAAAAGACCACTCCTTACATGTAACGTCATTTAATTTCTGTCTCTCGTCCTCAAGTCGTTGCCTGAGGTTCTCTGCCTCGTCGGTCAATCTTTTAATCTCCTCTGCCGTGGACTCCATTTTTAATCCTGTAGCGGTTTGCCTGTATACCGGACCTCTTACTGGGGAATGACTTTCATGATCTTTAGCAACATTAAAGAAACTTCTCGTAAAGGTATCAATGATCGATTGACTAGAAAATAGTGTTTAAAAATCTCGTGGTCGACTGTCCGAAGAATAACCTCGAGCATGACAGCAACCTGGGAATGTCATGAATTGTCAAGCATTCCTGGTTTTCTGCCAAAGTAGATCGACGCACATCGTTCACGATGCTTTTCCCCCGTTCACTCATTTGTTTTCACTCGTATTCAAGCCGATTTAGATTTGCTATCGTACGATATCATGCGTGAACGGCACTAATCAATACGTATCGATAATAATAAAGTTTGACGCCGGTGCAATGACGCCTGCGAGTTTCTCAGGGTTAACCTAAATTCCTGATTCTCACGATAACTCGTGCGAGTGCAATACCCGCGCGCAAGAAGCATCATTTTGGTTCAACTTTTCCTACATACAACTCAAGTGATCAAAGAAACGGCTTGGGGACAGAATAACGAGAACAGCCCGCGACCTCCGTCGCTCTGTTGGCCATTTTGACTGATTTTTTCCTTTTAACCACGGTCGATGAATTTATAGATCCGCAAAGAGCCATTAACTATGAAAGCATAGACTGCCAGTTCCTAAAATTATAAATGCTACCAAGATCTCAGCTCCATCGTCTACCAAAAATTACCTATCTACCATCCGGTTCCTATTTGCGTATATTTTCCAGGGAGTTTGACGCCAGTGCCATCCAGTGCTCGAAAAATCCCTCGTGTAATAATTAATAACATTTCGATCGAGGGACTTTCACTCAAGTAAACGAATGAATTTCCTTCCACCTTAGCTTAAATTTACACAAAACGAGGCAGCGAATAAGGGACCACTACTGCTTAGGAATCGCGGCGAGCGGTAGAGAGATTCGAATCTCGCGCGCTCCGTCTAGGGAGTCGCTCGTAGTCGGCAAGGCAGTTCTCGTGCCCGTCGACTCAGTCGCGAGACAGCTTCTCCGATTGGTCGCCAGAGGGACGCGATCGAGAAGGGGGGTCCGGGTCACGTGACCGAGCTGCGTTTTGAGCGCACTAACCAGGTACGGGGTAATTCGTTGTTTTTCTCGTGGTATTTCGCGCGCCTTGGCCGAGGAAGCCGAGACGCTCGGAATTCGGCGGTCACCGGCCTCACCGCGCCATAACTCGGACTCGCGAGCTGCGCCCGGAGAGCCCGTGAGTTAGCCCGTCGCTCGCCTCGCGAGTCGCGTTCCCGTGTCTCTCTCTTGGCCTCTGTCTTGCTCTCTCTCTCTTTCTCTCCGTCCTTCTTTCTCTCTCTCCGGCGGTGGCTTCGGACGGTCCTAAGCGAGAGGCGATGCTTGACAATCCGAGTTCGCCGCCCGTTCGCGCAAATGGCGTCTGCGAGTGCACCCACCTCCTGGCCGAGGCTCTGACCGCGCCCGGGAACCGCCAGGACGAGCCGACCGCCGCGTAACGCCGTCCGCCTGGCTGCTCGGCCGCGAGCGGCTGCCATCGAGAGGCCAACGGCCACGAGTGTGTCTTTTGTGCGCGCGAGCCAAGCGGCCCGATAGAACCGCGCGCCGAACCGGGCCCAAGAGTCCACGCGGGATCTCTCGGGAACCATCTTCCGAGACCGCGTCGCGTCGAAATCCTCCGCGAGTCCTTCGCTCTCGCACCTATCGACGCGGTTCGAGCGGCACGCCAGGTTCCTTATTTTCGAGAATTCGCACACGCAGGGCGGCCTCAGGGAGCCGGAGAGTCCGGGATACTCGCGGCCGCGTAGCACTCGGCGGGCCGGGCTAACCTCTTTGCCGTGGTGCTCATTTTCTCAAGGTCTGCTTTTTACTACTGCTTCCTTCGGAGGGGTTCCGAGGTACCTTAGCTTTAGGACACCTTAATACTTGTTAGGACTCGTTAGGGCCACCCTGTGATCTAGGAGCCCCGATGGCTCTTTTCCTGCTTCAGGTTTCGGAGAGACTAGGGATGGCGAGACGGCGTGGCACAGGTTGTCGTTAGGGCGGACGTAAGGAAGCGTGCATTGCTTCTTATTTGTGGGAAGTCTGTACTTATGCAATCGATGCTTAGGAACTTATATTGTCGATGGGTCGAGGGTTGTATGGAATATTGAGGGAGGCGGAGTTATTTTATTTGTTGTTCTTTAGTTCGGGTTAGCTTCAAATCGGAGTTCATTTGAAGGAAGAATAGCGTTCGGATCGTGATAATTGTCGGATACCTTTAGTTTCCTTTACGTGCATTATATTTTATTGCATTCCATCAATTTATCTATTTATGATTAACGTTGATAGGAAGTTTTTCTTTGTTTAGTTATATAATAATGATATAGCGTAAAATATTTGTGGATCATTTATCAAAATAGAAATGATTGTACGGATTATTGGAGTTGCTATTTTTCTTGTAATCTTCATGATTCTTGTCATGGTTTGTGGCACTATTTTGTTTGACTTAATTTCCCATCATTCTTGGAGTGAATTTAAAGATGTGGTTATAAACGATAGTTTCACACATAGTTTGATAACTACGGAGCAATATTAATTCTTTAGTCGAAAGATAGAAGTCAAATCAAAAGAGATGAAGAGTTTCTGAAAATTTACATTAAAAGTAAGTTAAAAATGAGCTCTTGGGATATAAAGAAATTAAGCCTCAAGGGATATAAGAGTTTCATTGTAATTTTGTTTTTTCCTGTCCCTTGTGAGCAGATCAGCTTTAAAATAAATATCTATTTTCTGTTTCAGATTGTAAATAGCGAGTGTATATAGTGTAATAGGTGAGCGTGATAGGAGAGGTGTTTTAGTTGGCAATGAGTTCGAGTAACAAATCGTCGGTGTCATCCGGCGGCAGAGGCACCAACAAGAGCAAGTCGTCACAGCAACATGGCAAGTCGGACCACCATCAGTCTAAATCGTCGGATTCAGGGAAACACGACAAAACACAGGTCAGTCGTTGGTTCACGTTTTTGCCATTCTTGTACCTTTGAGTTAACACTTTATTGACAACTGCGGCGTTGCAGCCGAAAACGGATCAGATGCGACACGCACAAATAATTGACACTCGAATGGGCGGAGGCGAGGATCCCGTCATGAAGGAACGCATCAAGCACATGATGGACGTGACACGCCGGACCGAAGACGAAGTCATCATGGCTCTGCATGACAGCGACTTCGACTTCGATCGTGCTGTCAACGACCTTCTGGAAGGGGTCTCGCCAGAGTGGGAAGTGATGAAGAAGAAGGCTCGTCAACCCAGTGGCTCGAAGCAGACCGCCGATCAGTCAGCTGGTCAGGATGACAGTGGGGACTACGAAGAAAGACGTCATCAGCGCGTCGGTGGGCCTCCTCGTATGCGTGGTCGTGCCAACCACGATAATCGTGGATGTGAGTCGACCTTGAAGTTTTTCTCAAAAAAAGGTGAGCCGATTCTCTGTTGGGCAAATATTTTAACATCGCGTACCCTGATCCAGGGCGCGGACGGGAGAACAAGGAGAATGAGAGAAACATGGAGGACAACGTGCGAGAAGGTGGCTACGGTGGGAATAGGCGAGGCAGAGGAGGTCCCGGAAAATCGGGTCGTGGAGGAAGAGGCGGTGGTCGAGGCCTCGGTCCGCGCACCTTTGCCAACCGCGGGGACATGGCCTCCGCGTCCTCGACTCATAGCTTTAATCGGCCCATCGACACGTGGACAGGCAGCGAGGAACAGCAGCAGAGCATTCAAGAGCCAAAAATGGGTAAGGTCATTAAAAAATTCGGTGTTATTCGTGGCCGTTAAAAAAAAAAAAAAAAAAATTTGTCCCGTGCCGATACTCACGCGGGTTTGCACGGCAGATGCCTGGAATAATATGGAACCTTCGGAAGAGTGGGACAACGAGGAGTACACGGGCTCATTGGCGGATACCAAAGTCTTTACACCAAGTACCATTGTAAACGAGCCATCAGCTACGGAAGAGCCAAAGTCCCAGGACCTACAGTCGGTTGTGCAATCGGTTCAGTCTTGCAGTTTATCGCCACTCCAACAGGAGGTAGCTAGGAAGCTTTAATTTCTATACTCTTTCATCTATTAATACTAGAAATACGAATAATTTTCGGGTACTTCCTGTGGCTAGGAATTACCTAAAATGTCGGAAGTACCGGTGATGCAGCAGTCGCCGCAACAACCTCCGACGCAGCAGCAGGCTCAGCAACAAGTGCAGCAGCAGCAACAGCAGCCCGTTCTGAGCATGCCGACGATTCAGCTCTCTCAACAGCCGAATGCCGTCAGCGGCGGAGTCCTGACTGCCGCTCAAACGCAATACCTGACGCAACTCACCCAGCAAACGAGCGAAAGTCTGAAGGGCCCCAGCCAGGCTGCATTTTCATCCCCGATGTCGAGCCAGGTACTTTGAAACACGAAAGTTCGTCCGAAGGAACTCCTCCTTTTTTATTCAACTATCAAATTTTATATTAATAGTTTTTCCTACTCTCTGTCACTTGTATTTTAAATCCGACGAATTGTCAGCCTCAGAGGCAACCGAAGCAACGGCCCAGGGTACCACCTCCCTCGAAGATCCCCTCAAGCGCCGTGGAGATGCCCGGCGACGCCGTCAACAGCGGAATCGGGTTCCTGGACGTACAATTCGGCGCCCTGGAGTTCGGGAGCGACTCGGCCTCCCTGGACGGCTCGGCCACGGAAAAGTACAACTCGGCGAACTCGTCGATGACGGGTATCGACGTCTCCTCGACGGTAAACGCCACGAGCGCCGGGACCACGTCGAATTCCCTGGACATCGAGTCGTCGAAGACGTCGAGCAGTCAGTACAACGCCACCAGCCAAATGGTAAACACTCGTCAACTATTGACCGCTTAACCGTATACATGCGGGGAAAAAAAGAAGAAAATAACGTGATTTTGTTTCCAGTTGTCCAACAGCGACAGCTTGCCCGTGTCCAGCGAGCACTCGTTGAACTCGCAGGGCGGCTTCGCGGGTCGCACCGGCACGGCGGGTCAGACCCTGGACATCAAGCAGGACTTCGGCTCCCAGGTCTCGCCCGGGAACGCCCCGAGCTATGCCGCCGGGTCCACCTATCAGTCGCAGAAGAGCTCCTACCAGCAGCCCTCGGCCGCGACGCCGAGCAGCTACAATCCTTACTCGAGCGTCACGCAGTCCGCGCAGTCCTTCCCTACGGCGACGGGCGGGAACGCGAACAGCTACTCGGCGACCACCGCCGTATCTCAGGCAGGTTACAACACCTCGTCCTCGTACCCGCAGTCCAACGCTTCCACCTTCAGCCAAGCTTCCCCGTCCGCGTCCGCGTCCTCCGGATATAATCAGACCACCACGGCCAACCAGGTAAACTAGGCACCGACTAATCTCACGTCGCACGTGCCAACCCCAAACGTCACTTCTGAAAGCTTAAGAGCCAGCGTATAGGTTCAGAGTCGTTATCGAATGTCTATTATCATTAAAAAGAAATTTTTGCGAACCCGAGTCTGGGAAGAGGTCCGACCTTGTCACATGGAGCTCTTCCGTTCCAGGCGTACCAGTCGGCGAGCGGATACGCGCCTACCACCACGTCGCAATACCAGGCACCCTCGGCGGCGACGAACACCACCTCGAATGCCAGCTCCGGGTACCAGTCAACGGGGTATCAAGGTTCCTCGTCTTTCCAGACGACTCCCCAGGCCTACCAACCGTCCGTCACCACCTTCACCTCCCCGATGACGCAGACGACCGGCGCTTATCAGAGCACGGCTCAATCCGTAAGGAGGAATCGTTTGGATTACCTCTCGGAGATGGCTTTCAACGATGTCACATCTTTCACGTTAAATTTGCAGGTTTATGCGAGCACCTACGGGAGCTACGGCAACCAACCTCAGAGCGGCTCCCACAATCATAAGCTGAACAGCAGCTCAGGCAAGGACTCCCAGTACGAGAGCAGCACGACGACGAGCAGCGGATCCCTGGCGACGACGACCGCCCCCGCGTTGGGCCTCTCCTCGACGACCGTAAACAGCTCTCAGACCAAAGTTACGAGTTCCAATGGTAATTGCTTCCGCTGTCCTTACTTTCGTTCTTGGCATCGTTAAACCGCTCACGAGTATCCACTCGAGGGCGGGGATCATAGGATATCCGAGCCGAGATTTCTTTCTGTAAAGTAATACCTTCCCCGTTTCGTGTTTACGTAACTTGACCTAATCTCGAGTCCGGAGTACTGTAATGTCTATATCGACCGATGTTGCGAAACAGCAGTGCCGAAGAGCACCTCCAGCGGCGTGGTGAGCGGCACCAGCGGAGGCACCGGCAGCATGACCGGAGGTGCGGCCGGTAGCATGACTCCCATGCTCAGCCACCAGTACATCATGGGCCAGGGTGTTCCCTATGCCTTCCAGCAGCCGATGTACAGCTACGAGGACCTCCAGATCATGCAGCAGAGAATACCGCACATGGTCAGTCTGCCTGGATCTATGGTCGCACTTTAAATTTCTCTCCAGCACGTGGTCGGCTCAAGTAGTAGGAAGTTTGGATGAATGGAGGCCGGGTCACGCTCGTGGTGCACTTACTTTAACGGACCTTGCCATCTTCACGGTTAGAGTAACCGCACTCTGGCTGGTTGAAGTCAAATCAATCGGCCGTACTCGACTGCTGACTTTTTTCGACGTCGAGGGGATGCAATGGTACCCCGTAAATTGGAGACTCGCGGTGACTTCTCGGTCGAGGAAAAGAGTGGGTTGCTCTAAGCCAGAGATGGGGAAACTGTACCCGGGTGTCTTGTTACCGTGTCGACGTTGATGACGTTCTCGCGGGTGGGTCGATTTTAAGAATTGAGCCGGTTTGAACTTCACTCGAGCTCATGCGACTGTTTCCCCATCGCTGTCCGCTGCCATGACGTACACGATCTCTCACGTATTTATAGATTTATTTGGAAGAATGCTGACACGATTATACTCTCTCTCTTTCTACTTGGTGCTTGGTAGCTGCTCGATCCGGTATTTTTGTCCTCCTCGTTCGGTATCCTGTTCGAAGTCTTGTTTACGGTGTAGCACCGTGGCCCTCGTTTGTTTGGTCTCTGTCACGACGCCTCCTGTAAGCGCACACGTTTTTTCCCGTAGAGTTCTCATCGGGGACTCACTCGGAACTCTAGACTATGTTGGAAGTAGATCACGAAGGGAACGATCACGTCTACGATCAATGAATAGGCCTCGAGGTAACTCGAAACTACGCGAGGGTTGACACTTCTCGAACGCCGACCGGTTGATCGTAGACTCGAATGACGTAGCTTGGTCTTCCACTTCTCCTCCTTTGGTTCTTCATTTTGTCCCGAAGGGCGGACCTCGTGTTGAATCGGGACTCTCCTACGAATTTAAGGCGTCTCTCGGGTAAAGGTATCCCTTTTCAACATCGGTCCGGCCCTCCGTTATGTCTTACGTTCGATGCACAGGGTGCCGCACGGTAGTCCGATTGACCGGCGTCTCCGTGAATGTCCATCTCGAAGAGAGTTCCTGAAAACCGAGTCGGCTAATTGTACCGTTTACAACAATTTCACCATTACCCGCGAGCCCGGGGATGGATTGGAAACGCCGTACGATCGAGCTACCGCATCTTTGTCCGGCAGTTTAAATACCGGCCACCTCCGTTTCAACCTTGTACATGTATGAATTACGATCTCGTGGAGGTGGCCGGTCTTCGAACGGGGCGACTCGCTTGGAAGTGTACGGAAATAGAACATCTTGTACCCTCTAAGCAGAAGAGCTGTGTCTCGCCCGACGAAGCGAGCGGTCAGGGAGCGAAAGTTCCCCAGCGGGAGTTGCGTCGAGGTCAATTCGCGATCTCGTCGTTTACGGGGTTCCATGTATTATTTTATTTAATTTTCAATGATCATCTACATCGGCTGGAACCTCTCGCTCGCCCTGGTCGCTCGCCCTGGTCCGGTGCGCGTAGAAAATTAGACGATTAGCTAGCCTCCTCGTATCTGGAGTACACAGTGTATGCATGTAGTTTTGTGTTTGGCCTCCCTGACTAACCTGCAGCCAACTACTGGTTACTATGACGCGGCTCTGGGCTATCAGACGACGGGGCCAGCAACCAGTCTCGGAGGCGGTCGAGGAGACGCCTTGACCGGTGTACAGGGTGTTCAGGGAGTACAGGGTGTACAGGGAGCCTATACCAGTATTAGCGACGCCAGGTTCGCCAGGAACGACAGCAACGCCTCGCCGGTCCCCTCGACGATGTCGCAGCAGGTGAGGACGCCGAGAAGCGTCGGCAGAAGTTCGTAGAAAGTTAGATCGTCGCGGGACACGGGGAGAGAAATTTAACGAAACCGGGCTCGACCTTTCAGACGGCGACGCAGCATCAGCAGCCGATGATGAACCCGACGCTGCCCCCGGGATACGCGTACTTTGCCTACGGGGGAGGCCTCATGCCGGGTAGCTTCCAGTACGGGACGCCGGCGATCTATCCCGTAAGTGACGAGGGTTGATCCTCCTTATCGCAATCCGGGAGGTCTCCTAGGGGTTCGAGATATCTTCAAGTGGTCTCGTTGCAGCAGATCGCGACCGCCGGCAACGCCGGGACGAACAGCGGGGCGTACAGCGCGAAGCCCGGGAACTACGGGTCCGGGTACGGGGGCGGCGCCAGCTACGACACCCTGGCGAGCGCCGGGCCCCAGGCGGAGTACAAGGGCGCCGGCAGCGGCTACACCGGCACGCAGGCCGGCAAGACCGGGACCTCCGCCACAGGGAACACCAACTCCGCCGGGTCGTCGGGCGCCGACATAAGCGCGACCATGTACGCCAAGAGCCACGTGGCCCTCGGCAAGGTTAACGTGAGTACGCGTTAACGGTGATCGAGGAGGCGGCACCCCGGATTCCCTTCACCGTCGTTATTCCCGTTGCAGTCGTACGACAAGCAGACCTTCCACTCGGCGACTCCGCCGCCCTTCGGGCTGACCGGGAGCCAGAGCGCGGGCCTGCCGGGCGGCTACGGGACGCCGCACCTCTTCATCCCGACGATGCCGCACCAGCTGCACCAGCCGCTGCATCAGGACGGCGGCAGCACCACGGGCCAGAGGTCCAACGCGAGCTCCCAGAACAAGGCCCAGGCCAAGCCGGGCTACAGCCCCAGCTACTGGACCGGCGGCAACTAAGGGCCGGGGCCGCCCTTTCGACCAGGAGGACACGGCGTCGGGAGTACACGGACCTAGCCGACGACCACCCGGAGGGCAGAGGACGCGCGCGCGATGAGCGCGCCGCAGCGAGACCGGGAGGCGACCGAGGTGGTGCCCCCTTGATCTTACACACACATACACGCGCCGCGGACCTGTACGGCCAGCCTGGACCAAGGACGACTTTGGTACACGGCCCCGGGGAGGTGTTTTCGACGGATGGAGGCCGAATCGGCGATTTCTCTGTCTCTATCTATCTATGTACTCCCCTCTCTCTCTTTCGTTCAAGTTGACTCGCTCCGTCTCCCCCTTCTCTCTCTCTCTCTCTCTCTCTCTCTCTCTTGTTCTCCGATTCTCTCTCTGACTCTTGTTTCCTAGCGTCAGCGGGTGCACCCGCGAGACCTAGTAACTACCCCCTCAGCGCGCGAGGTCGCTGCGGCGGGACTCTCATCCTCCTCGCCCTGGAGGTGACACCGGTGGCGACCCTGGTCGCGGACCCTCCCGCACGGCGAGAGTTTATAAATTTACATACATCCATATACATATATAAATATATATATATACATATACATATATATACATATATGTATATGTATATGTATGTATATGTATATGTATGTATATATACATATACATACATATACATATATACANCACGGCGAGAGTTTATAAATTTACATACATCCATATACATATATAAATATATATATATACATATACATACATATACATATATACATACACTCACGCAGGTTCAATGTACTTTACTTACGCCCTCGTCCGAGCGGCGAGCCGATCGTAACGAGCGACTATGTAACGTGTAAGATATAATCGACGTACTCTCGAGGCGAGGCGAGACGACTAATCGTGTCTTAAGCGACTAGTACCCGCTGGTTTTTTTACAATGATAGCTGTGCCAGATCCTAGATCGGACACCTCGCACCTCGCGATCCCCCAGCGGCGTGCATGGTTTTGTAAAGAGAAAATGGAAGCGAGAGGGTGGAGGAGAGTCTGGCTCTTCCTCGTGGATGCTCGGCTTTGAAATATCCGCCCGGGGGTGGCGGCACTCGTGCTCGGTTTCGAACTCTCGACGGATCGTCGGTTACGGGGAGGTAGTTAGTAGATTTTATCGGGACTCTTGTCGGGGGCCTTGTATTATCGGACGCGTCCAAATCTAGGGATCCGCGAGGAGGGATCTAATTTTAAACTGTGTCGGTTCTCCGTTTCTTGGACTCTGCGTTTGTGAACGTGGAGGCACTCCCAGAGGACCTCGGCGGGGCTTTGGATTTTGGATGGGTGTACTCGGGGACGTTTCGATGATTCTTTTTTTTTTTTTGCTGACTGATAGATTGAGTAGAAATTTGGAGAACGGTTGGAATTGATTCTTCTGGAATTCTGGGAGTTGTTCCAGGGTCTGGGGATTTATTGCCGATGTTCTTGGCGAGTGCCTCCTCGTACCTTCCTGGTTTTAAGAGCCGATTGGAATGGACTTAATCGCGGACTAGCGAAGGGCTTCGTAAAGTGTATTAAGTCCCCGAATTTATAACTGGCGCGGTACACAGAATTTTTCCAAGTCGCGGACGATGCCACCAGGAGTTCACCCTTGTACGTGACAATCGCGAGGCCGTCGAACGGTGCGCATCCTTCGAGAGAGAGAGAGACTCTCTTCGCCAGAAATTTTCTACCGAAATCCCAAGAGAAACTGTTCATCCGCTCGGACCCGTGTGTTTTGGAACCTTCGACCTGGGGTAAAAAGAAAGCTTCCGACTAACGTGGACTCTTCGGGATATCCAGTTCTCTATTTAAGGTCTATCGGTTTCTATAGAAAATTTCGCGGCGAGCCATCTATGCCCACGAAGAGGACGTCGTCCAGAGAGAGCAGTGCCTTCGGGAGATCCGGGAGCACTACTCTCGAAGGGCACCCTGAAGAGAACCCTGAAGAGAATCTAGAAGACCCAGAGAGAGGTTCCGCAAAGTCCGCGACTACTCTCTTCGGTCGGTGGTGTATATTAGTGCAATTTCGCCGACACGTTGCGTCGACTGCGAACGAAATGCGATAAAACAAGAGGGAAGCTAAAGAAGACGGAGAAAAAGAAAACATAAACGGCGAACTGCGAAAAGTGGTAGTTTTATATTCGAAGTTGGTGTCGCCGCGGGTCGACCCACCCTTGAAAGTGTTTAAAATGTTAAATGGGAGAACCGCGCTCTCGGGAGACGACGCTGTATGTCGACTTATTTAGGCGTAGGGTGAGGGACGTTTTTTTAGGACAAACCGTACTCGAGTAGATCGCAAACGTGTCTAGTTAAATGTGAGAGAGAAGGAGGCGCCATCGAGGTGGACACGTCCGGGCGTAGGACTCTTCGTGTCTCCTTGTTTCTTATTTCGGCCGCGACTTCGATCGCGCCCTCGACCGGGGATAGAGAGAGCCTTCATCGAGCGGACTTCTTTAGCATTTTCCCTAGAAACCGATAGAGAATAAGTGGAAACCATATGCGAAGAACTCGGGCAGGGATTTGGGAAGCGTTCAAGCTCGCGGCGAATCTACTAAATTCGACACGCGAGATCCACCTTCCGTGGGCCCCTGCTCGATTAATTCTTTTTTCCTTCCTTATTGTTTTTTTAAACCGTTTTGTTTATGTAATATCGGTTGAGATAGAACGTTTTAAGCTGGGTTATATCGTGTCGTTCTTTGAGTCAGGAGGTAAAAGTGTAGTTGGAATTGACATTATTCGTTTTGATACGAAGCTCGTCTGTTTTTCGACCGAGATATCGGGCACATCCGAACTCGACGTGAAGTGGATTATCCTGTCGTTAAATTAATCTGATATCGTATTCGGTAAATAGTTTCGGAGACTCCTCGATGAGATAAGTACTCGGCGTGACTCGGGAATGTATTCCTGATCTCTCCCTACATTTTCTAAAACGTTCCAACTCTTAGGCTTTTGACTAGTGCACCGTAGATTATTGAACCAATTGTCCGATAATTTATTAAGCCTTCGGCTGAAGGAAAAATCACGGGCGTAACGATTGATCGGTCAACGAGATGTGCTTATTACATTGTACCACGCGCTCACTGTAAAGCTATTTAAATACACGTGTAACTGTCGACCCTGATTTATTTCTTTGCATCGCAACCGGCATCAGTGAGAGGGGACAAACGTCAAAATTGTTCTTCATTTAAATTGTCGTTCCCATGGGTCGTTCGTCAATTTTTCTTTTTTTCTCACTTTTTGCAAAACCCTCCAGACTGCAATAATTTCTCGTGGAAAATTGATATACCCCGTGAATGAAGTCCACGTCGTTTCCGGACCTGGGTCGATCTGCTCGTTCCTAAAAATCATAATCGACGTTTATTACGCGACTGTTATTTTTAATCTATCAATGGGTAAATTAAAAAAAAAGGGGATAGGAAATTACGCGCACTTTGTTTCAAGGTAACTGGCGAAAGCGTCTTATTTTAAACGTGGAGATCCGTTGTTTTGACGTTTCTTCATTACCAAAGGAATAAAATAACGCGAGACAGTTATATATGTGTATGGATATGGATATGTGTGTATGTATATGTATATGTATATATATATATATATATATTAATTTCATTTCGTGAATTTTCTCTGGGCCCGTTTCTCGTCGGTTCCGTGTTCTCCGTTAAGCTTTTATCGCGCCTGATATTTTCCTTTCTTATTATCGGCTCGTTAAAAGTCGGTACGTCGAGAGACTGAACGGCTCGTGTAACTTTTTACCGTTAAGTCAATTCATTCTTTTTCCTCCATGTATCGGCTCGTGTCTGGGCCTTCGTTTCTCCCGGTTTTACCTGAAGTTAGATTAAAGACGGGCTCGGGTTAAACGAAGTAGCTTTCGTGCAAGGACTGATCTCTCTTCGCCGATTAATATTCAAGTGATTTTTTTCTTTTTTTTTTTTCTCACACGTTTCGACGCGTGATTTATCCACCCGACTCGTTGATTCGTCGTTTTTCGTTCCTTCGTTCGTTCCATTTAATCTCACGCATGTCTTTTCTTTTTTTTTTCTTTTTTTTTTTCTTTACGGGAGATCCCTCGTTGAAATTGCAGTTTTTTGATTTTAGTCCGAGGCTCCGGGAGAGAGTGAATTTGCGGAAAGCGAGGAAGGGATATCCTTAAAAGTAGTTAACGTCGCGGATTAAATCGCATTATCGTGAGAGGTACAATGGCGGACATGAATGCCTCCCCTGCAGATACGGCATCCCCTGTGTAGGATGGGAGGGCATTGATGTTTCCCAGTGTACAATGGCGGACATGAATGCCTCCCCTGCAGATACGGCATCGCCTGTGCAGGATGGGAGGGCATTGATGTCTCCCAGTGTACGAAGTGTTAAGAGGAGAGAAAAACGATTGAGCGAAAATTGTCGGCCCTCTCGTGTATTCGGTGTAGGACTCTTAATTTACGCGATCATCCTTTTCCTTTATCGGAGCCCTGGAGAGCCCGGCAAGGAGTGTTAAAAAAAATTAAGCGAAAGGAGAATCCGACTCCTCTTGAGTTTTCGTGTAAATATCCGGCTATGTGCGGAAGAAGGGAGAAATTCTGACTCCTTGGTGCGGCCTCTCGGGGCTCCGAATTTTAGACTACGACCGTAACATCGGATTTTTTTTCGCCCGTAGAAAAAGAAGCACGGTTGACACTTTAGACGTAAACTGCGGGATTCGCCGTAAAATGGGAAAAATAGGGGGAAGAAAAGTAGCGACTTAGCGATGCGGTAAAAAATTTGGAAAAGAACGTTTAAAGCGATGTCCAGGGAGATACGTGTTCAAGTTTGATTTTAGAGATGTACTTTAGTTTGTCCTGTCCTCTCTTTTTCTCTCTCTCGTCACGTATAAAGAAGAGACACACACACACTCCCCTACACTCCGCATATATACACACCGTACACACACCGATGATCTTAAGAAGTATATTAAGTGTATTGTACGAGATGGGAGGATTAACGAAGAAAAGAATTAAAAGGGGAAAAAATACTAAGTAGGGAGATTACGGCGTAAAGGAAAAAAAAAAAACGGTACACTGCAAGAAGATGATTATATAGAGTTTAAAAGCAGAGAAGTGTCCAAGAGCAGGCACGTTCGTTCTTATGATAATTATTATACCTTAATAATTTTTGTATTTTTGTCAAATATTAACCGATCGATCGGAAATGCAGGATGCATTACGCCACTACTGCTAATTACTATATAATTATTAATAATAGCTACTACTGTGTATAAATATGGATATCTAAGAATAAATGTATTGAAACGATAGTGTTAGGAAAGGCAACGTGTCGGTGCGGTCTTCCCATTGTTTCACTTTTGGATATGCAGTTAACGTCTTTCGTAATTTACTTCGTTATGACGCCATTGGAAACTGTCCGTGGCGCCATCTATCAAACCCTCCGTAAATCGGTGAGGAGTTGTCGAGTAATCTCACGTGAAGTATCCGACATTTTCACCCTAGTGAAAATAAAATCGCGTCGCTCCCTTTTAGCATTTTCACTAGATTCGACCGCGAAGTCGACGCTAGTGCCACCTGACAGCGGAATGTGTCATTTTTGGCTTAGCGAAGGACAGCGTTAATGTACCAACTCATCTCTGTAATGTATAATATCAGGTTATTTATTCGTACACTGTTAAACGCACCGATACGTTGAGTGAATTCCCCTGGTGACGTCATCGAGGGTCGCGCATGCCCTCGGCCCGTCTTCGGAGAATCGCGCGGAGGGGCGTCCCGAGGTTCTGCCAGGCTCGGACGCGTATCTGCGCGCGCGTGCATTGCATTCGATGGTCCTGTCGTGGAGTCGCGCGAGGTCGAAGAAGGTTGACACCTTGTTGACAGATTACGGAGCATCCTCGAGCAAGAGTCTGCGGAGCCGGGAGCGCGGCTCCAGGACGTCGCCCAGGACGCGTCGGAGAGGGTGAGGCTGCTCCTGCAACGCGAAACGGACATCAACTCTCAAAGGGTCGTCCAGGAGGTGTCCAGCTCCTCGCTGAAGGTCAACAGAGGCTAGCCAGGTCCATGTCGATGAGATGAGATGACTCTGAGGCGCGGCACGCATGGCGCCGCGCGTCTTCCACGCGACAAGCTCGCCCTGGCTCCGACTCTCCACGGAGTGACGATCAATGGCTATATTCGAGAGGAGGCGCACGAACAAGGTCCTGCTAGACGACACCGAGGTTCTCAGCGCCGTCATTGAGAATGCTCGGACCGTCGACGGGCACACGGTACGTAGGGATCGAAAGAATAATCCTGCGTCAGGAAACATCGGGGGTGTCATTTGCGAACAACGATTAAAATGATCTGAGCTCGGCATGTCAATTTTTATGGATAATTTGTTGACGGCTCGGTTTGTTTATGTCACCTATCGAGGCATGTTTTGTTCGGAACGAGGATAGTTAGATTCGACGTGGCCCTTGTTTCTGGTTTCAGGAGTACGTAATCAAGACACAGAGGGGACCATTGCCTGAAAAGTCGTGGCGAGTCGGCAGAAGATACAATGACTTCGTACAGCTCGATGGAGCCCTGTCCATATCGGGCATCAAGCTGCCTCTACCTCCAAAGAAAATCGTCGGTAATATGGCCCCGGACTTTGTAGCTCGACGGCAAATAGCTCTGCAGGTCCGTCGCGCTTGGACGCTTCTTCCGAAGCGCGTACAGCTTTGATACCGCTTGCGGACGATCTAAGTTGCAAACATCTCGCTTTCAGAATTATCTAAACGTAGCACTAATGAATCCCATACTGGCGTCGTCGTTGCCTATGAAAAAGTTTCTGGACCCTGACAACTACGCCGCACCGTTACATGGTATGTCGCCGTTAGGTCTACATTCCATAGTCGGAGAGAACTTTCCAAAACTTTGCTGGAACGGACTGAACTTCTCCTTATGCAATTTTCAGAACACAATATCGAGAAGCTCTTCAGTGGGATTTCAGTAAAATTTTTTAATCAGGCATCGCCATACGCTTCCTTTCCATGATTCACTCGATTTATTTCTTTCGTAGAAATAGCACTGCAGCAAGTCTCATTGGCTCTACGCAGTGATGCCAATTTCGAGGTCTGCACGGCCATACCCGATATGGGGTGGCGACTGAGGAAGCATTACTACAACGTCAAAAATCGTCAGAACCCGAAACAAGAATTGTTACTCGCATGGGTGGAATTTGGACCCGATAAGCATTTGCAGGACAAAGATATACAGAGTGCGTTGAAGAGTCTGGGTACCTTGCGACATGAGTTCGTCGAGCCCATTATTCATCAGCATGCAATGGAAAACGGTGCTCTTACGATTCGAGCCTTTTATCCGGAAGGCACGCTACGAGACGTGCTCTGTAACAGTAAACCTAAGCAGCCTTTCATTAAGAAATATGGGAATCCAAAACATATTAAGCCATTGACCATACCAGAAATTGCTACTCATGGATATCAGGTGAGCAGGATGGAGTTTTGGATATATGCGATGAGATTGAAAAAGTAGCAACAGTTTAGGTTATGGAAACACTGTACAGCTAAGATAAGATAAGAGATTACAAAGGGTGTTAATTTCAGATACTCGAAGCTCTGCGTTTTCTTCATGAGAAGGGCTTGCCCTACGGCCACTTGCACACCGGAAATGTTCTTCTAACACCAACAGGTGCTAAGTTATTAGACATAGAGAACGGTCTCCTAGGATTACCTGCATTTTATCGTCCTTACGTAGTGCAAAGGCGTAAGCTGCACGCAACAGTAAGTAGAGCTGTGTATTCGTGCGTCAGAAATTCTGAGAACTCGAATTTAGAACACGTACCGCTGTCCGTGAATATTAACAAATTGTCAATTGACAGACTCAAGTGGACGTCTATTCATTCGGTCATGTTCTCTACGAAATGGCGTTTGGGAGACCTCTGTTAGAGGCTACGTGTTCGGAGTTGCCTCGCTGCGATTCTGGACTGAAGAATCTGCTGGAAGTGATTCTCTTTCCGGAAGCCCTTAAACAAGACCTGCCTACAGTTCCTCGTCTTTTAGAGCATCCCTTTTTCGAGGGGATCGCTCGAGCTGTGAGATCCTCTAATACACCGGAGAGACCGTATCTAAAATTAAGTAACCACTTGAAGGATGCCCTGCTGGAGGCTACGAACAAAGCTGAATTACGACTTAAGGACGAGCAGAAGGTAGCGAGGCATCAAAAAAGACTGGTCAGGGTGCAAGAGATGATGAGCTCCGAAGAAGAGATGAAGAAGCGCAAGCACAAGCTGGTGAGTTAATATTGCCCCGGAGTCGTTTCTCTATGGAAAAAATATGTATCATTGTTAGATTATGTTAATCGTAATAATTGTCCGAAAGGCACCGATCATAGAGGTCAGGCTCGATATGCTAAGCGTTAAGAAATGATTTAAGCAATGCAAATGTATTATCACGCGTCGCGAGGTGATTGACTCGAAATACTGATTTCCCCGGTAGAAAAAGGAGCAGAAGTTGGCCCAGGAGCAGCGCACCGCGAGCCATTTGGGAGCGGACGTAAAACAAACTAACGGCAAAAGTCCAGAGAGATCGGACAGCCCGACCAGCGCCTCGACAGCGACAAGCGTGGGAACACTGACTCCACCATCTCACGGTAAGTTTTTCCTCTTTATCTCCTCTGAGCTGAGTTAACGTTTGACAAACTCGGTTACGTCTTTTCAACGTCTGTTCCGCCTCAGCTGGACACAAGAGTTGATGGCGCGCTCTACGTGCCTTAATATCACGTAGGTCATATCCATTGATAAGCACGTTTAATCGTGACCGATCGCTCTCGTGATCTCTATCCATTGATCTATTATTACTTAACGACAAACTAACGATTAGACGCTTCTTGGTTCATTTGTTCCTGCATTTAGCTATTTTGCTCCATTGATTCCATACTGACTTAATTTAGCACCCGACCCAGAGCCTTGCCGCAGCCTGCTTAGTAGTGTCAACCTGGTGCTTTCCCTTCGGATCGACTGCAGCGTTAGAAAATCATTCCTTTCATGCTTGCCTTACTCTCTTCATCGAGGCTTGAAAGATATCCAAAGCGTTAGTGGTGTCTCTCTTAATAATCTAATACAACCTTCTAACCTATACACTTCGCTCTAATCTCAAACACCGTAGAGGAATTCTTGTAGTACTCTTTCTTTCCGGTCTGAGTCAGTCCTAGGTTCTGCAAGACGACGAAAAAGGACGCGTTGCCTGCGAATACTTAGCACTTTGATCTCTTCGACTACTTCTGTCGGTGGCACAGAAAATCTAAGGTGATCGAGTGTTGTAATAGTCTCCCATGTTAACCTTTAAGGCTCCACCGAGTCGCAATGTGGCAAAAGCACGCCGGTACCTCCGCCTCTTCCAATTCTGAGGCAAGCATCGGTGTCCTCGGTGATGGTGCACGTGCCGACCGTAAAGACTCCAGGTCTGAAGGGACCGCCCGTGGAACGGGCCGCTCTTCTGGGCAGCATCTGCGCCTTCAACAAGGCCAACCTCCGCAAGGTCGTCAACGGGAATCCCTGAAATTCCTCCTCGGCTTCCTCGGGAACGATTCTCATCGACGATCGGTCGTCCTCGGTCGCGGCGAGGATTTTATCTAGATAACTATCTGACGGGGAATCTGCGTCGTTCTCGATTCTGCGTAACACGTCTTCCACTTCGTGGACTCTACGAACAAGACCCTGCTGTCGCGGGTGCTGCGCATCGAGGGAGTTCGGGAAACTCCTCGAGGATGTCTCTTCGGGGCAGTGGTAACCCTTGACTCCGACTCGACGGTGCGGGACGGTATAACGCATGTGCTGTATATCTCGTTTGTGAATATTTAATAAAAGTGCAATATATCATTGACCTCGGCCTTCTGTGGTTCTCGCTACTTCAGGGAAAAATTAGTTCACTCGTCTTGGAGGATTCTCCTAAAGAAATGCTCCTGCATGATTCTCCTTTGTTTCATGTGAGTTTAATTCTGAAAGTGGTCGTATAAAATGTTGACTGGTATCGGACGTTGAATGTTACATTTTTTTTTTTTTTAAGAGTTTATCGGATCGGAGGGAGAGGAAATTTGGATGTATTTTAATTGCAGCGTTCGTTGTAGCTACGTTTTTATTATCAGCGTTCTCGATACATTCTCAGGCGATTAAAATCAATCGTCTTATCGTTGTCAAAGCGAGTGACGTCATTTGATAGAAGCGATTTCAAGAACTTGTAATAACAAGGAACATATCTCTCACTCTATATATATATATATTTCTCTCTTTTCATTGTTTAGAACAAATTGCTTTAGGAGACCCTGACTCTAGAACCGTCCTAGATATCTGACGTTGGACGGTAAAGGGAAATCTCAAAAAAGAGCTTGGCATGTGTCGTAACATCTTATTTCTAAATATCTCGCAAAAGTGCAATACGACGAAACGGCGTCATGTTTTTAACGTTGTGCAAAATTGTAACAAAGAGCATAAAGCTTTAGGAGTATCGAGACGATACCGTGCGCTCATATCGGTTTCCTCACTCCGATAGGATTATCGGGATGATAAGTTACTTTCCAACATGTACATATACTATAAAGATAATTGTAATTACAATAAATATACAAAGTGTTCGTTATTCGACTTTATCTCTTGGTTAGTCCGATTCAACGTTATCGATAACAAATTTCCGGTAAAATTACTTGAATCTGTGATACGTGCTAAATGGGATTTCTTTTATATGTACAATACTGCTATGTGCATTCTGCCTAGATTCTATTAATTAGAGTTAACTTCGCTCGGCGACTATGCATCCTGTATAAGTACAGTATTTTCTTTTTTTTTTTTCTTATACTAACAAGACTGAGAGTATTGCAACGAATTGGCATGTTTTTTTTTTCTGCCACCTGGTTATTCCCAAGTTGTTTAAGAGCGGCAATTAATATTACATCAAATTAAAAAATTTGGAAGTTGAATGACCAAAACTTTGTCTAAGTTCTAATCGTTATGCCTAAGTCCTTACTACGTAACGTGAGTAAATCGTGAACATACTGTTATAATGCTGCGTGTGTATTTGAAGCTGCAGTGAAAGCGTCATTTAATTTGTTCTCGATTACACGCGTGGAAGACTAATATTCACTTTAAATATACACGCAGTGTTGAGAAAACTCACTTTCATCGGAGAATCATCCGATGATCTCTTGAATCAGATTTCACGTGATATAAATCGTACATATCCTAACAGTATTATACCGTGCTGAGTTTAAAATTAAGACTTTAAATTCGAGTCGTGGAATTTGATCTATAGAAAGCGGATATGCTAATAGAATTAGTAATTCTCGCTACGAGAGACTATCGTGCGTGTGCAGACGCATCACGTATGTTAAGACCGAGTTGATGGATTAATTTGGCATTTTCCACTCGATCAACATTTTGTAAAACGATTAATCAATAGGTTGATTGCACGAACACCGCCGCACTCCTTTAGAATGCCCGGCTAAGGCAAAGGGCTGCCACTAACAGTGTCACTGTGCATACTGCACTTTGGACAAATTTGTGCTATATCGAGTGGCGGTGTTTACCGCCACGCCGTCGTCAAAGGCGAGAATGCAGCTCTTCCGTTACCGTCTTTAACCTGAGGTTATAAAAAGGAAATGATTATTCAACAGTTTTTTTTTTTAACATATGCAAGGTGGCAAGCATTACACAGCATAATTTTCCATTACGTTAGAAATCACTGCATTCATATAAGAACGTTTCCTGTTCTGCATTCTGATAATAGAATTCTAAGTCTCATTAAATTACCTAAGTAACTCCTCTTGTATACGATCTGTAATGGCTTTCCTAGCATCCACCTCGTTTGTCTTGGTTGCTCTAAGATCGGTTAGCATCTGACTGAAGTCGATGGGCTCTCCATAGTTCATTGTCACTTTCCGCTTTATCTTAATCAGGTATGGTGGCTCATTCGGAAGCACGTCATCCATACCGAGGTGATAAATGGGTATGACGAGTGGTGTGACAGGTGACTCCAGTATTAATCTTCCAATGCCCCATTTTAACCTGTCGATAGCGTCGTGATGGTCACCAAGGAAATAATTGTGCAATGCTTTGTCGTGCCCGTGAAACCAACCTCATGTTTTCTTTCAGCATGTTCACTTTTCCTTCTGGAAAAACGTGCACCCAATCCCCGGAGGCTAGTTTCTCGATACAGAAGTCGATCGCTTCTTGGTATACTCCTTTCCCTCTTACGATGGGTATGCATTTGCCTGACATGAAGAAATATGAGTGCCAGGCATTTGTAAAGCAGATGTCATGAGCTGCGAGTGACCATCTCATTACCCTCCGATTACAGAGATGGCGTAGGTCCAATGTCCCTAAATAGATTTGAAAATCACTTCCTTACGAAAATTTATAAGCCTTGGGTGCAGTTAATAATAAAATTCTTTAAGATCAATCGATTATGCTCCTCGATCGTAACTTGCAATCGTATATCAATTACCTCTGCTATTATTCCAGCAGGCAGTAAATCGTTAAACTCACCCCAAGTACCGGGGTCATCAAAGCAGCTATGGTGGTTAGATACAGTGATCAGTGGAACATTTTTTGGCCGGTTGTCCAGAGCCTTTGTGATGATGTATTTGTTGTATACCTTTGTCTTATTCAGCCATTCTACGATCGATATCAAACGATTTATGTTAAAAAAAATAATTAGACATCTTGTATGACCATAAATTTTAAACGTCATCTTTATCAATATCCTTACAATTGTAAACTATTTTTTACTAATAATTACAAAAATTCAATAGGAACCATTTAGCTCCTTCACCAGTCAAGCACCCACGTTACGCACACCGACTAATTGACGTCAATGACCTCTCCACTACCGTTCGCCATTGACACTTGCATTAATAGCATCGTCACGTTAATTTACAACGAATCCCCCGGTCTTGGACTTTGTCCGGGCTGACCTCGTGGAACTAAAGGTCAGTCCTGCCGACGAGCACCAATTCCTTCTAATTCTACGGCAGACCTCCTGCACGGATTCCTCGACGTTAGGACAGCACAAATTAACACTTCACACCACCTGTATCCAATGTTCCTGCTCTAACGTTACCCATATTTGGTGCTCATTACCTGAAATAATCATGTCAGTCAAGATAAGTCGAAAAAAGGCGATCAAAGCAGAAGACAGTGGCCGCAGGTTCAGGGAGGAATCCGCGAGCGTTACCTATGATGATCTTGGAGAAGATGCCGACGGCGACGAAGGTTATGGTGCTCGCAAAGTTCCAGAGCCTGGTCGACTCTCTCAGCTTGGGGATGATCCACTTGATGTCGTACGCCATCGGCCCGACAGAACGGCCCGGGGAAGACGTCGCGCCGCTCTGGACGCTCTCCCGAGCGCGAGGAACAAGCGGCGTGAACGCTCCCGCCTAAAAGGCCCGTCCGGTCTTTCGCAACCCGAGGCGACCGCGGCAGCCATGTCGATATCGATACGTGCCCCCTCGACGCGAATGGACGCGGGAGACACGCGAGCGCCGGCAACGTGTCGCGAGCCCACGGACGATCGAGGCACGTGACGCTCCTCGGCTATTTCAAGCAATACTGCACCGGACTGCACCGACTGCACGGGCCACGAACATCGACCCGCAGGTTATGCGGAGTTATGCGTGAGGTTATGTCAGAGCGCTTCCAAGAACGGTCTTCTGTACGCGCTCACAGGTGGTCGAATATAACCTGCCGTAACCTGGGATAACCCGTTTACCGACAACTTACGTAACGGGAACAACTTGCACTTGCGAAATTCCTGGATTTTCAAATGAGAGGAGGGGATTTCTTTTTTTTCGAGTTCGAGAGGAATTTTAAATTAAATGGCGGCAAGGCTCGGAGACTCATTCGGGATGTTTCGTCTCCTTGCTCGTAATGACGTGATTTTTTGCCTTCGCTTCTGCTTGGCCGTGCGTGCCCGTGTCAAGCGGTGTCAACCTCGCCGCCAGGTTGCCGCGTTTATTGCGGCTGACCTCGTGACGCCAGCGAAGACCAAAAGCAAACACGAGCGCCAACAGCGCCGTCGCGCCGATGCGGCGGGGAAGGGAATTAACTCGGCCACGCGCCAACCTGTCCGAACCAGCTCCAGATTTGCGTCGCTTTGCGTTAAACCGCATTTAACTTTACTTATGCACCCAAGGAACGGGGACACCTGCGCGCAGGTTAAACTCTAATGACAAATGGACGGAGTATTATAACCTCTGGCTGCCGCTACCGGAGTTTAATGTCAGGTTATGCGACATGCCATCGTATGCGCCTTTCTTATTCATAAAGTGCCTGTTGAAAATTCGGTTACACGTAAGTACACGCTATTACGATTTGCTCTTCGCAATTGTGCATCGAGTGGATTGATTTTCGAGTCAAATTCTCCCGTGGCATTGTGCACGTAATTAAGCTTCAGGATTTATTAATCACCGGAAGTCTTAGCAATACCGTCAAGGTCTTCCGCGTAGGTTGAAGGCTTTCTCGCGAATATTAAAACCGTTGCATTGCAACTATTAAAATTCATGTATTTATATGAAATATATATTAATGTATACATATATCGCGTTACCGGAACTAATGGTAATCAATAATTATGTGGTGGATTAATAATTAAGACGCTTGCGGTACGCGAGCAACAAAAATGGCGCATTCCCCCGAGTTCCCTTGTAAGACGCCCGGAGGAATTCGCAATTTCCGCGGATACCTGCAGACGTCGATAGGGATTTATATCCAAGATCTAGATATTTTTAACGGTGTCGAACGTGACTCCGATTAACGATCTTTGGAACCAGTTTAAGCTACGACTAAGGTTCCGCTCCGGCCACAGGTTTTGCGACTTTGCGCCTCATTATTTTCGAATTAACAAGTGAAACCTGTTCCCGCCTCTTTCCACCTCCATCCGATCTTAATTCGATTTCAGTCGAGAAAATGTCCCAAGGGCGTCCCGGGGTTCTGGAACGAGGCCCGAATACGGGAAATCAGAAAAATTGTTGCGATTTAAACAGCCACTTACAGATACGACTGGCAATTAATTTTCATTTCATTTTAGGTTGAACGGAGGTTCAAGGCCAGACCGAGTCCGAGGTTCGAATGCTGCCGTCCGTAGCTCGGCCTGCAAAATGCAAAGGGCTCATCAACGGCCTAATCACACAGGTAAACTCGTATCAGCCTAATGAAACCCAACCAAATGAGAGGAAAAAAGCCCCGACGAGATAACATTGAATAACTCTGCGTTCGATGGCTCCTTCTCCCTCTAGGCCCCCCGACACCTGGGAGAAAGAAGGAGACGGAGAATTCCAGACGAAGAGGCTGCGGCAGGTGGAACGCAAAACGGCGCGGTGGCGTGTACCTCCTTCATGAGAGATGCTGCGAGAGTGGGAGCGAGACGGAGAGGAAGAAGGCACGATAAGGTGCACACGTAGAGGGAGAGCGAGAGAAAGAGGCGGCAGACGCGGCGGCGGGAAAGAGAGGGTACGAGAGAAGAGCTCGCCGGTGGGAGATGCCGAAGAGGAGGCCGAAGACGGCGAAACGAACGCGAACGGAAGGACCTGCCGGTCGGCAGGAGAAGGGAGCTCTAGGTTCCTCCGACCCATGGAGGAGGAAAAGATGGTGGAGGCGCTCGAGGAGGAGGTCAGGGAGGTGGGAGAAGCCGAAGAGATGGGCCCGAGAGTGGTCTCCTCCAGGAGAGCTACAGTTCGACCACGAGTCCGACTCGGGCTTTATCCCGGTTCGCGGAGAGAACGCGCGACGCGTCCTCGTCGGCCGCGGATTTTGTGACGGTTTCGGCCTAGGATCCCTCCCCTCCTGCCGGATGGATGTAGATTTAAGTGGTGATTAGGATAAGTCACGGTACACGAGCTACGATGCTCGCTCGTCGGGCAGGTCCGGTTGTGTGGTACCGGTTTAGTGACTAGCGATCGTGGATGCGGATCTTCCCGGGTTTGCGCCCGCACAGTGCCCTCTTCTGGGTCCCCGGCTCTGGGAGACCTCTTCGGGCTCGATGCCGGGAACGGCGAATCGCGAGATGATGCCGGTACACCCTTGAGCCGGCGACTTCGATCGGAGTCGGTGTCTAGAGCCTCCAGACCGCGGACGTCTGGTCGTTCTCGTAAACATCGGGCAGGAGGAATCCCCGCGACGAGGGCTCGACTCGGAGATCCGAAGAGTCCGTCGAGTGCCGCCATTAGGTAGCTGCCTATCGGGCCGGCGTCGCCATAATTGGCATCCTAGACGTCACTTGAACGACGACTAGTTATAACTTCGTCCCGCATTCTGGACCTCTCGACTCCCCCCGAGAAGCGCCATCCATCACCGCGGTTTTACCTGCAGGTCCGTTGATCGTTCCTTGGTTTCTCTGCAGGGGCTTTAATGGTCCACGATGTGCATCCGCCGGACCGGTGAATCCCGAGATCCCGAAGAACTGTCCTGCCGACTTGGACGAGGTCATCGAGGTCCTCCAGGGACCCCCAGCTGAGAAACGGGGGGAGTCTCGTCCTGAACGGCCCACCTTCCGATTCACCGACACTGGCATCACCGTGACGACTCTACAGCTCATTTATCTTTGCGGTTTTACCACAAGGTTCTCCAATATTCCGTGGTTCCGCCGAACCCATCATTTCTGATCCGGGTGGTCCCCACTGACCCAGGGTCTCGCTTAACCCGACGCCCACCGTCGTTGGGTTAAGTCGCCCGGTTCTGGGAGAGCTACCACGCGGGACCGATGAAAAGACACCGGGGGAAGATAAGAGCGCCGCCAGTCTTGCCCTGAGGAGCAAAGCCGGCGAGTTTCTACTTTCACCAGGACTTACACGACCTCCAAATTTAGCAGGTCCTGCACGTCGCGGTCGCCGTGCCTCAGACCTTCCCGAAGAGACCAGTGAACGAAAAATTGACCCAATGGAGCCTGTCGCAGGTGGACCGAGTCAACCTCTATTTTCTCTCCGTACCCTAGGAAGTGCCGGCACGGTTCGACCTCGTCTTCCGTTGGACGTCTCTTCGACGATCGACATTCAGTGATTCGCCTACCGGCATCGGGTCTTAGAAGAGGTAGTAGAGGAAAATGGACCCACCAGGACCCCTCGTCCGAGACCCTCCGCAAGCTCCCAGGGTGGAGAACCGAATAACACTCGTATTGCCTGCCCTACCTCAACAAGTGCCGCCATCATTCATCCACGTTCACCGGCCAGCACCTCTTCAACACTCGGCGGCTTGCAATCCGTTATCGCTGCACCGGACCTCGTCCTAACTCACCTCGAGGAAACGATGCTGTTACCGTTTCCAGCGACCTCGTTGATGCAGTTGTCGTCGACCTCGCCGTGGTCGACGAGGGCCGTTCCCAGGTTTGGAGGCGCTGCGATCGGAAAGGACCCTCGACGTGGAGTGGAGGATACCAGAGGAAATCGAAAGTCACCTTTTGGGACTACTCGTCAAGGGGAATCGAGATCGGCGAGAGACTCTTCACCGAGGGACGTTTCTCGTTCCGGGGGAGGTCGCCTCGGACGCCACTTTGGTCCCGCCAGAAGATCGCTACCGGTGCCTCCTGGACCAGGATGCTCCAGGGCTCTTTCGACTTCGTGAGAGAGGTCCCTTGACTCCTGGGACGTCCTCGTAGAGGAAGGCTTCCCTGAAGAGTCGAGGTGGTTTCGCCTGGGAGAGGGGAGCCGGCCAAGACGGAAGGAGGGAAAACCTGAAAGAACGAGACAGGAGTGCGGGCTACCTTCGCGCGACAAGGACGGGAGCTTCGAGAGAGCACCGAGATCTCCTTCCAGGGAGCAACTTCTTCGAGGCGCGGGAAGGGGAACAGGTATGGAGGTATTCCGTGGATGCCCTCCTTACGAAGGGACTGTACTTGGTACACTCGCTCTTGCGGGGATCTTGCCCTGCGCCTTTATCGTTTCTTTATTTACTTATCCACCCTTGAATTATTTTACCCCCTATTGTTCACTCTATCGTTAATATTCCCGCGCGTAACAAAAATTCCCATTTTTCAAATTGCACGGAGAATATTTTCCAACCATTTTCATTTTCTGAAGGATTCAAGAACTCCCTCGGAGACTCATTTCATGGATTTACCTGCTGAAATTATCCCCTAATTTTCATCATATTAATATTAGGAATATAATTGTATATAGGAGTTTTATTTTATTTCGCTGAATGCGGAATTTTTTCACCGTCTATCTCTTTCCACGATATTCTAAGGGTGATAGCATCTGGTCGAATAGCGACGCTTTAATTTCTTGACCTCTGCCCTCGAAGGTTTTTTTTTCACCCCTTGGTGGCCTCGCCTTGCATCCCAGACCGTTCGGGACGACGATCGAGTTCTGGGAGTTGCACCGCCTCGGTGCCGGTCATTATGGCTCGTTAATCTTGGCCGGTGTGCCTTAACAAGCACCCTCGGGGTGCTTTTCCCTTCAGCTCGTTCTTCGATTCGAGCCAAACCGAAGTCGGAGGTCGGGTCGAACTTCCGGCGAATTTGCCGTGGGTTTTCCTCTCGAAGAAATGCCCAAGCGAAATTCCGTAATCGCCCTAAAAATCCGGAATTAATTTAAACCTGGCTTTTAATCGGATGTTTAGCATAAAAAAATAATTTATATTCGTCTGGAATATTATACCGAGGGTAAAAAAATATGTAACGCGGTATATCGATTATTATCATCCGTATGTTAACGTTGAGGTAGGTCGTTTGAAATGTTAATGAGTTTTTCTTTAATTTTCAGGATGCTGTCGAACAGCCAGACCGCTTCCGGGACCAGCGTTGCATTTCAGGGTGCACCTTGCAGCCAGTGCAGAGATCTTTGTCCTGGCGGCTATGTTCCTCACTTCTGGAGGTGAGTCAGATCTATCCCGAGAAAAAGGGCCTCCCTCGATTTAACGTCAGGTTGGGATTTTCTTCGGCGGCATTTTTGCGCCGTCGAAGACCGACATCGGCCACGAAGAATCGCACGAACGACACATCGGCTAAATGGCGACGCGTACTTACCATAAGTACATCATCCTGCATTGCAAAACCCTCCCGAGATTTACGTAGAAATATATTAAGCGCTCGTAGAAACATTTTAAGACGAGCGCGAAATCTCTGCGTACGCGCTTGGGAGGAATTACGCGGAAGTAAGGTGTCACCTAGGGGAAGCATGAATCAACCATTGCAGGCATTGCGACATGCACTGACCGTGCATGTACCACTTGGTGGTTGGAAACTTTCACTGGATTTACGTAGAAATATTTTCAACGTTTAATCGAATGTCCGCGGGTCAAAGGAAACCGTAAGGTAGCCTTGCGCGTCCTTATCGCGTGAATGGGAAACGAGAGGCGATATCACCGGTTGGAGTCGCCATTATCTGGCGTTCTCTTTCCCCAGCTCCCACATCGGGGACACCTCCAGGTATCGTTAAAGTCATAATACAGGATTTCTTCTCACCTGGGAATTTGGTAAAAAAAAAAAGAAAAAAAAGAAGAAGAAATTCTTCCGAAGAGGATAAAAGACCTCTGGAAATCGTCCCTAGGTGCATCGGCCCGTCGAATGCACTTTCGGCGCGATGCACCGGGGGGTGGCCTACCTTCGTATTTATCCGAAATTTACGTCCACATTTAGGCACGAGGCAGCATCGCCGGAATACGGAGTATAAAATACGAAAGGGAGGCACTCGCCGAAAGAAGGCTGAGGGGTTCTCCTTTCCCAGCGGGTCGAAGGTCGACTCGTTCGGCTCACGCGAGCCGGTTGGGCGTCGAGGAGGAACCGGAGGACCGACCAACCAGGGAACCGGCGAACCAGAAGAACCAGCCAGGGATCGGGCTGCGTCGAATCGGCTCTCGGGCCCAGGAGAGACGAATGCACGCTGCTCTGTAATTAACATACCAAACCGTCCCGTAAGGTACGAACGTGCGTTCGACCGTTCCCTGGTTCCCTCGAATCGGGCGAGCAGGGCCTGAAATCATCCTTCGGGCCCCGGAGATTCCCCAGACCGGCGCCGTTTCTTCATCGGGGGACTGCGGGAGATCCCACGGGAGATCTTCGACCTAGCCGCCACATGGCGTTTCCTGGATTACCGGGCACCATCGAGATTACGGCATCGCCTGGATTAACGAATCTACCTCGTCGAAACGGGTCTCCGAGGCATCTCCGGACTCGTCTACGAACCTGGTGGAGAGACGGTCTCAATTATGTTATCCATCAATTGAGATAAAAATTGATACCGTGGAACTCATGCCAATGAAACCTCCCGAGGGGGGATTAAAACGATTAATCGCGGCTATTTGTAATCCGCGCTAGTCCAGCTCCTCTTCGGCGTCCTCTCGGTCTGCGCAGATTTAACGCAACGATGTATCGTTATGGCGGTAGCCACCCTTAGTCTCGACTTCCTCGTACTTGAATTATACCGCGTTAGGAGGGAACCTTGGATCGTTTTGGACGTTTTACATGTCGCTTAGGTTTATGATCGCCATCGTAAACTTCCTCCAGGACCACCTCGTGGTCGGGTGTCATTTTCCATACGTGGAGGCCGGATTTTACAGTGAAGCTCCTAAGAGGATTTCGGTCGAGGCGTTATTAGATGTTATTGGCGTATTAAGCTGGCGGCCTGGGAAGAGGCTCGAAGCGAGAGTTCTTCGCGTCGGCGAGTACCTTGATTACAGCTTGTGCATGGATTAATGAACGAGTCTCATCTCTGGGCAATTACGGAGGGTTTCCCTCGTCCTTCGAATTCCTGGATAGGTTCTGCCTCGAAGACGATTTCGGCGCACGCTAGGTTCTTCGCGTGCCCTCAAACGGAAATCGTATCGGCTCTTAAGGGCCTTATCATTTCTGGATCGACTCTCATGGGTCCTTTTTGGTGGTAAGAGCGAAATCGGCAGACTTCAACCGCACTGGATGCCGATCGGGCTTCGCAGGGTGGGCTCGTCGCGCGCAACGACGGACTCTGATGTTCCCTATCCATTGTTCCAGTTTAGTATTCCAACGATGGCTGCGTCCTTTGCGAGAGTGCCGAGAGCGAAGACCGGAAAGCGAGCAGCTTCAAACAACGGGCGGAGGGCGTATTGTATACGAAATCCATCCGTGAATGATCCTCGGATAAGAGCGCCGAGAAGTCACCTAGGCATTTCCTTACAATCAAGTAATACCTCTCCGTGCCTCCATACTTCCTTTTTCTTCGGTCCATAACCCCTCTCGGTTAGAAATTTATTCCTGCCTTGCGTAAACTCGTAAAGATTTTCAACATTTTTTTCTTTTCTTTTTCTTTCTCATTTCTTTTGTATCCACTTCCAGAGGACGTGATCCTGGAGACTGCTCCCATTCCTGGACGGGTAGCCGTTCGATCCGCAGTTGTCGGTAAAAAGGACGTGGGGGCATTTGTCAGGTGAAGGCAGGCGGTAAACCGCGACCAGTGGTACCTCCGGAGGGTCGTCCTCGGCACCGATTATCTCGCGGGATGGCCATCGAGAGACGTCGTCCAGATTCAGGACGCGATCCTCGTTATCCTTGATGAGGTCAATTGACTCCGGTGATAATAGACGGAGCCGATCGGGGCCCTGGATAGGGCCGAGTGTCCATATGCCGGTCGGCCCGTCGAGAAAGCGTGTCCAGTTGTCCGGTTGTCCGGTTGTCCGGTCGGCCGGTCGTCCAGCTACCGGCCTGGATTCTCTCCTCGGCCTGGAGGAAAGAAAGAATGTCGCCTCTGCGTTTGGAGTGACAAAAACTTGCACCTTCTCACCCTGGAACCGGCGTTCCAGATCTCTCCCCTCTTCTGTCTCTCTTCCCCTCCCCTCTAATGACGAGGCTCGGACGTCGGATTTCGTTATTTCCCCCGACGGCTCCTCGGACCTCCGAGAGAATCGTCATCGGGTGATTCTGACCTCCCGGGAGGTCGGGGCTATTTCTTTTTTCCGATTTTTTAAAAATTTCTTTTACCCTCTCCTTTTTTATCCTCGCGGTTTATTCGCTCCAATTATTTCTCCTCGATCATTTTCTACATCGGCATCCACGCGGACGTCCACCGTGTCTCGCTACCTCGCGGATTAACCACGGACACGCGTCTTTATTAACCTTCGCGACCGCAGGAGATTTATTCCTCGTGCTCGGCGAGAGAGGTGAGCATCGACACCGAAGGAAAGCGAGGCCGCGTCGTCCATCTTGTCCCCGCGCGGTCCCCCGGTTTCCTACGAAAGGCGGACTCCCTTTTCCTCGGGAAAATAAATTCCAGCCACTCGAGAATTTCTAATCACGATATTTAATCATGCGCCCGGTTGATTTACGCTCGTCTGTGCCGAAGCGCACCGTGAAAGTCCCGTTCGCCGAAGACTGGGCGTATCGCTGCTCTTGAAAAAATCTCATTTATTCCAATCAATCCGATAAAAGATAAGGGCATCTCTCGTCTTACATTATCACACGTCCGACGAAATTTCCCATCGCGAAATTCTGGAATTAACTAGAGTTCTATTAAGGGATCGTGTTATTTTTCTTATAATTGCAAAATAAGCGTAAACGTCTTATTTCTCTCCTTCCTCCCCCTTATATGTTTATAAACAATGTTCGTTTCGGTAAAGTGACATTTTTATTAGTTAGTGATTTGCATACGAGCTTTAACTGAGAACGGCAGGCTGAGGTGACGGCGTGAAATTCTTACTGCCAAATCGTCGAAAAAGTTGGAGTACGGTAATGCCGGAAAAGCGTGGAATAACGCCAAGGAGGGGAAGCTCGGCCGCTTAATGGGGAGATTTACGATTTTTTTTTTTCGAATTCGGGAACTGTCAAAGGGGTGGGCCTTCGTAGTCGCCGCGCGACACCATGTTTACGCGGCGTACCTCTCTCCGGTCGTTTGTCAACGCCGTTAAACATTGCCCTTCCTCCAACCTCCCGTAGGCGATAGTGACTCCCTTGATTAACGAGCCACCCCCTGCGTATTTCGCGTTACACGTTGCACCCCGACGTTATGCGGTGCACGCGCCCTTTCGCGCCGAAAGGGGCTGCATTGTTGCACCCGTGGTTTACTGCATATTGCAACCCGCCTGGCGTTTCCCCGTCGTCGCTGCAAACTGACCCTTTAATCTGGCCTGACTTATGCCACTTCCGCTAATCACCCTCCCGGGCAAAGAGTTTCCGCCGAACGTCAGTTTCTTTCTATTTCTTTCTCTCTCAAACTCGCCAGAATCTCCAACCCCTTTAATTTTCGACGTCTACGAAAATCCATAGCAACGAGCAGGGGTGAAAGTAGATGCAGATAGAGTTTCCCTTGTTGTAGGATTTTTTTCTGTTAAGGGAATTCCGAGGGATGAATCTCGAATTGCGCCGGGAACCAAGATGGCGGCGGAGAACCAAGAAGCTAACTTGGTACCCATTCGGGGAGGAATGGAGGAGTATCTCTACGTCGCATTGGAAAATGCCCCATACGAAAATTGTAGAAAACGTTGCGTTGAGGAATTTTTGTCTGAAGGAATTTTTTGTACCGCGGATAGGTTAGGCTGGAGATGCTTCCGAGGATGGGTGTACTTTTCGGAGTAGTCGGGAAAATTTAGTAGATAGTCTGTTGTTTTCCCGGAGGCATCGACTAAAATCGATGCCCGATAATTCCGATACACTATCGATTGGCGCCCGGACGCTGTCTGGTATTTCCATGTCTCTTTTTTACCACGGCCCTCTCATTTTTTTCCTAGTCGGCCGGTTTACCTCGTTCGGGGTTTATTCCACTCCCTCGTTCTTTCTCTCTGTCCTGGTGTGCGCCGTATCAGTGGGCGAGCATTTCATTGTCCATTCCAGATATCAGCGATCGGGCCGAGGGAAAAACGCCGCTCCCCATTTTCCACGAGCAATCGCGATCCTTCCTGCAATGCGTCA